AAGTCTTCAGTCATTTAGTACACTCTACCCCCACCGACTGTGTGCCGGTTGTTGGTACCCTGAGATGGGAGTCGTCCTCCTGTGACAGTTGACCTACAATCACTCTACTCAAAGGTCCATCATCCTCGTTAACGTTCACATACTGTAGTTGAGCGTGGTAAGTAATTACAGCATATATTACCTGGGGAGCCGCTTCTAATGTAAACACGCTAGGTCAGTACAACAGGGAGACCTTGAACCTCTCGCTCTAACTCAGAAGAAATGCGTCTGAGGCATCCAAGATTGTTTATTGGGATCTTGACAGGAGGAGCGAAGGGACTAGAGACGACTTGAATTAAATCTTCTGGGGGGGGGGGTGGTGACTGTACTGTAGGTGGCCCAGTTGGAGGTCCCTTGGTGGGTTCCGGTGGGGCCAGATGGTGAGAGGAGTTGTGTGAGACATAGGTCCATCCGGTGACAGCTGCTTCCCTCACTCTCCTCTTCTTAAGAAACTCTAGTGTTCCAGAGCTACAACACAACACAACACAACACAGATCGTTCCTATAAGTTTATAATTTTCCTGTTCGGGAGATGAGTGTCTGGCTCGGGTGTCCTGTTGCCTCGTTGAAGTGCTGTCAAGTAGGAGAGTTAATTGGGTGGTTGAGGCCCTACCTGCAGTAGTTGGGGGGGTAGTGTGGTGCCACTATAGCGTGCGGTCTACAAAGATATATTTAGTCTAACTCTAACCAAACCTAACCTTACCTAACCTTCCCTAGCCTTACGTAGCCTTCCCTAGCCTTACCTAACCTAACCTTCCTAGCCTTACTTAACTTAACCTTAACCTGACCTAACCTAGGCTAACTTGACTTAAATAGCCTATCCTGTAGACCTCAGGCTATAGTAGCACCGGTAGTGTTGTCATCCACAACTATCATAAAGGGAGAGCTAAAGTGTAAGAGAAAGTGAGAAAGGAAAAGACAAAAAGTAAAAACAAATAATTTATTACAAGCAGACATACTGTACTGTACGTGGTTATTTTAGCTGGTGAGTTCTGCGGCGATGACCCATGGTTCAGGCACAACTTGACAGTTGTTCTACGAAGGTCATTATCCCTTTATGTTCCCACAGTCTGGTTGGTTCACACTTCACCACACACCCACTCTGAATGAGATTAAGTGCATCTCGTGGGCTATCCTCTGACGTCATTGGTGGGGTGACACGTCCTCAATAAACTACTCCTTGAGTGTGAATGCCACTCTTTGGCTAAAAGGTTGTTGGAATTTAGTGAAGCAAATATGTGCTCTGCTTGATATACTTTAAGCAGTGCACACGTATTGTGATGGCCGCCGTCTTCACTGTCAACTAATTTTTTTATTATTATTATGGGGATTAGCCCACCCGGGCACAGGTCAATGACCCACATCAGGGCCTGGGAGCGAAATTATAATAATAATAATAATAATAATAATAATAATAAAAATAATAATAATAATAATAATATAATAATAATAATAATAATAATAATAATTTAAAAATTAATAAAAAATGAACAAATATTAAATAAACATATAGTAATAATAATAATACCTGTAATAATGAAGGACCATAACTAAAAAAAATAATAAAATAAACAGATTAATAGTGAGAAACAATATATGTATTTTGTGTTATCAAAGTTAGAGAAACAATTGAAACCCTGCAATTGAGTGTAAATGAGGCAGAAAGTCAGATGAGGAACCTGGGACTTGGTCACATATGGCAGCAGGGTCTACCATTAGACAACACATTATACTTCCAATATCTTCCCAGGTGGTAGTACCTCCCTGTTTGATAGCCACCTACTACCTTTAAACTAACTAACTAACTAACCCTCACTACGCTCAATCATGTTAGCTTATTAGTCGACTTAAAATATTGATTCAGACAAATTCAGTTTTAGGAGAGCAGCATCACCACCTTGGGTTCACACTCATGATGATGTGTAAGCCCTACACGTAACTGGCTGACCGGAACTAAACCACAAAACGCAACGGCAGAGTTACACTGAGCACCTTACCTTAACTAAATGAAGAGTTGGCGAAATATAAACGATATAGTCTAAAGGTAAAGAAGTATGATAGCGACGACCATGACAACCACGAACATGATTTTTCTTGATAGAAAATGTTCGTTATCGTAACATGTCCCTGTCCAACCAGTAAGACATTTTGTGGCGGTGATGGATGGGTTTAACTCAAGGGAGGGATGTGTGTACGTCTTCCCACACTGCCTCTTTTCCTTTCTTGAAGGTTTCAATACCTCTTATATCCCTCACAAATAATGGGAATGGAGTTATCTAACCTAACTTCAGAGAAAGATAAAGACGCATGATAAAGATTGAAGAGATGGCATAACCGTAGACAACGCTCACACTCCAGACACAACGAGTATGGCCTTCACCAGGTCAAGTGACACGATTTTCTGCAAATGATAAATTACTTCACGGAAAAAGTATAAGAAAATTGCCAGAGCTTGTGTTGACACTGAAACCGAGTGCTTCTCGGAAACACTGAAGGGTCATTGCCAGTTGATGGGGTGAGTGGGGTGGTTAGTGAAGGGGTGTGGGTGAGTGGGGTTGTTAGTGAAGGGGTGTGGGTGAGTGGGGTTGTTAGTGAAGGTGTGGGTGAGGGTTGTTAGTAAGGGGTGTGGTGGTGGGGTTGTTAGTGAAGGATGTGGGTGAAGTGGGGTTATTAGTGAGGTGGGTGAGTGGGGTTGTTAGTGAAGGGGTGTGGGTGAGGGTTGTTAGTGAAGGTGTGGGTGAGTGGGTTGTTAGTGAAGGTGTGTGGGTGAGTGGGTTGTTGATGAAGGGGTGTGGGTGAGTGGGGTTGTTGAAGTGAAGGGGTGTGGGTGAGTGGGGTTGTTAGTGAAGGGGTGTGGGTAGTGGGTTGTTAGTGAAGGGTGTGGGTAGGTAGGGTTGTTAGTGAAGGGGTGGGTGAGTGGGGTTGTTAGTGAAGGGGTGTGGGTAGGTGGGGTTGTTAGTGAAGGGGTGTGGGTGAGTGGGGTTGTTAGTGAAGAGGGGTGTGGGTGAGTGGGGTTGTGGAAGGTGTGGTGAGGTGGGGTTGTTAGTGAAGGGTGTGGTGATGGGGTTGTTAGTGAAGGGCGGTGGGTGAGTGGGGTTGTGAAGGGGTGTGGGTGTGTGGGGTTGTTAGTGGGGGTGGTGGGGTTGTTAGTGAAGGGTGTGGGTGAGTGGGGTGTGGAAGAGTTGGGTTGTTAGTGAAAGGGTGTGGGTGAGTGGGGTTGTTAGTGAAGGGGTGTGGGTGAGTGGGGTTGTTAGTGAAGGGGTGTGGGTGAGTGAGGTTGTTAGTGAAGGGGTGTGGGTGAGTGGGGTTGTTAGTGAAGGGTAGACGTTTTTACTTAAGCCTTTCAAAAATAAATAAAGTTAGAAATAAATTAGATTTAGGAAAAGTTTCATTTCTCCCAAAATGTTATGTAGATCTCCTTAAAAGTGAGGGTGATGTAACAGCTGACAGAGTAGGATTGTCATGGAGGTAATATCAGGCTGGGAATGATACAATGACTCAGTGCTTTCTTGAACAGCTCTCTCGGTGTTGTCTGCTTCATACAATTATTTAGAGGCCTTCTCTAGTATTGATCTCTTAGGTCTGTACATCTTAATTCTGGACTCATCCTCTTGTCTGCTTTTTTCTTCATTAAATTGGTTGATGAACTCTGAATTAACCATTGATCAGATTAATTTACAGAAGAGCACCAAGTTAGATGTGAAACTATGGTTGCTATGGCAGGCAGCTCTGTGTGGAGTCTCTGGAGTAATGGAATATTTTTCATATTAAATTTGTGTCATCATTCATTTTTATTTTCGTTGCTACTGATTGGCTCGTTACATGGTTGGGCATTCGTTAGCCAAATGAAAAGCTTCTAATTTATTACCATTTGCTCCTCTAACAGCAATGGATAATATATGTACATATTCTGTACTGCATATAAAATTATATACAGGTACAATATTAAATGAGACTCCAAAGTGGCATTACTGTACTTTATGACCTGACCTGGTGACCCTGTATGGTCATCATGGTGAGTGTACTTTGGGTGGTACAGTGTCACTCATGTAGTTGCTGTTCTTCATTTAAAACATTTAACAGAGGTACAGTAATGTTTTCCAGCTTCTTCCAAATTGTTAAATATTTGTGTGACCTACGAATTAGTCAGGAAACTTTTGTAAGAATACGAACTGAAGCAAGATGTTATGGGAGGGGGGAGGTTATAATCAATATTATTCGTCTGAAACATTTTTCCATTTAGACTTGCATTTTTTGTTTTATAAAGCTTAATACATCTGTTTTGTCCCCTGGCAAATACTGTAGTACTGAAATATGTTCGATACTTACATGAATACAGTACAGTACAGTATATGGATTTCACAACCTTACACATCCTGGTTTGTCACTGCCTATTTCTTGGATTCCATTAATGCTACACTTCCTCAATCATTATATATTTCATAACTACTGTCTGGCACCTGACCTTGGTGATTGCACTTTCATTCCAGACCCACATCTCACAAATTACCACACCTTGCCACAGTCGATTGCTCATTTTATTTTCAACTGTCGGCAAACCTCAGTTGTCTAATGTCAATCCATATTATAATCTTCCTTTAGTTTCTCCTTTCTAGTTCACCATTGTGAGCCATGTACTCTAGTTACTGCTTACACCATTGCACCCTCCTCGGTCATGGCTTCCTACATTAAGACGATCATAACTGGTCTGATCCAACCTTTCTGGGCAGACCATTGTAACCCATCTATAGTAACTTCATCCTAATGAATGTAAACCCATCAACAGTCATTCCCCAATATAGATGACCATTGTAATGCCTTTACTCCCATAGTTAGACCACTGTAACCCACCTAAGTTTCATTGGAATGGGTCTCTCCCTTCAATGTGATTAGTTGAATGGATCCCAGTCCTCAGTGTTAGGGCTCAATGCTTCTGAACCTTGGTGAAAAAAAAATATACAGTTGTACAATACAATTTTAATCCACCTTTTACACAATATATACAGAAGTATTAAAATATACAAGAGAATACCTAACAACTTTTGAAATGCTGCGCCAAAATTGTCTAAATCATAATACAGTATCTACAAAGTTCCCATGGAATGTCACAGATATTATCAGTTTAATATTCCACTGTACTGTACAATATAACAAAACACATTGACTATTTCAACAAGAGTGCAGCATGACACAAAGTAAGGACAAAATATGCAGGCTCTGTGTCATTTAATGATTATTTACTGAAAATTTTCAACAGAATAAATATAGTATGACTGGGAATATATCTATCTGAAAGAGCCAAAAAACAGCTACGATATAACATGATAATTATTCTTAACTGCAAAACTGTGCATTGTTATTAAGCCATTAACATGAATACATTATTGTTCTCAATATTTACCATTACCACTAAGGAATTATGGGCCAAATAAAATAAATTTATTCTACTAAAGTTGCTCTCAAAATGATGTCCTAGACAACAAGTTTCACAAATACGTGACCATTACAAGGGGCCAATATGTTCACAATGGTACAGTGTTGAGAATGATTGATTTTAATGTTTCTTTACATAAAGCTGTTCTTCAATGAACTTGCAATGCATCTACCAGAGTTATATGATGTACTGCACATTATGGTTATCATAATTATACAATATTTTTTCTGTGTAAAGTGTGTCCTCTCACCTCTCCCTCTCAACAAAAAATTACTATTATTTACCCCACATATATGAATAAGCTGCTTTTGTGCTTAATACTGACGGCTCAAGTCAAATTTCCTTTAGATATTAAAGAAATTATATTTCATCCAAAAACTTATCCTTTAAAGAGTTGAACCGTTAACTTTCAGAAAAACACTTGCATCAAGCGATCTTGTTTTTGTGCTCAAAATACGCACCAATGAACATGAAATGGATATTCTAGCATTAAAGAAGCTCAGTTGTCCTTCTTCATGCGTGGGTTTGTCATGCGGTAGATGATGGAGTCACGACCAGGATCCATTGTAGCCATTGCTACTGATGTGGCAAGAACAGCGAGGAATAGAATAATACTCAGCCAGAGAATAATGTTAAAGATTGCAGGGTAGTTTGATGAGTACTCAGTAGCAATGTTCAGAGCGGAATCCTGAAAAACAAACATTGAACACATGAAAAGTGAGTTGCAATTCCAACAAATGCCCACTATATTTGTCAAATAATAATTACCTATAACTGTACAGTATTATATGAAATGGTACTGCTCCAGACTGCCAATCTAAAATATTCTTGTTCAGTCCTAAAGTAAAGGAGGGTTGGCGGGGAAGTACTTGCTGCAGTGTGTGTGTTGAACCAGCACTCACCACAAGCTGAGTTAACCCTTCAGACAAGTACCTCAAACTGCTGTACGATGGAGCGAGTGCTACGTGTGATTTTTTCTAACTGGTCAACAGTGGCCGAGACAACCAACACACGATCTTTGTATAAACGACGCATGTAGTCGGTCACTTTTGCCAACTCGGTCCGCAGGATGTCACATGCTTCAACCACCTGTCATTAAAAAATAAGATAAATACACACATATGAAAGTGTAATTTATTCATAGATATGGTATATTTATGAAGACATTGTTGATTTGTAATGCCAAGCTCATGTGATTAATACTAAAAGTTGACTTGTAAACATTGTAATTACTTTGGTGACCTCATGAAACATCTTTGGGCAACTCAGTCATTTTTCACCTCATACACCACTCTAGTATTACTTATTCTTCCAATAATTTGTCTTAAACAACAATTCTTTATTAAAGCATGCACTTGAGGGTAGACCGTCACATTAAAAAAAAAAAAAAAATCTGACTATTTGTGCGAGTATTTTTGCATTATTATTTATTTGTATGTGTGTCTATACACACATATACACAATACAGGTAAAAGAAATAATTGTCCTAAGGGCAACACATAAAGGGAATATGCATTTCTTTGTGCACAAGTAAAAATGCCCCCCCCCCCAGTAAATGTTATTTGCAGATTTGGCGATTCACAGCCATTTTGAGAACGTAACTCCCGCGAATTTGGGGCCCCTGTACTGTGTTTGTATATGGTGAAAAGAGTGAAAAAAAAACCACCCTATATATGTAGAGGAACTTTTGCACAGGACATACGGTACAGTACCTGGGGAGAACCAAGACCATACGTCTTCACCACCTGTGACAGAGAGTCCACCTCTAGGAAAATGACATCCTGACCTCCATGTGGGGCTGTTGATATTTCCTCAGCCTGTTAAAGACAGAAATAGTACAGTTAATATTACAAAGAATATGACACTATAATGCTGGAAACAATTATGAGGACTCACGACCCTTTTTTATTCTGTACACTGCATGTTTGGAGGTCAGAAACTAATATGTGCACATTAATACAATCAACTGGGGGTTGTAAATCTCTTGTCGGCAACACTCGAGTTTGTCATATGAATAGGTAACTTTTTCATCAACTGGCGACCAGTATCCCATCACAGAAGAGAGAACACCTTCAGTGTTGCTGCCCAAAACCAAGACTTTTATATTGATATGTTGGATACAATTCATTCTGATAACTTAAGAGGGGTGATGATGGAACTAGCGCATATGATCACAAGCCCAGACTTAGCATACAGTAGGTGGTGTGGGAGAAACATGTATGTACAGTACAGTATTGTAGGAATTAATGCACCTCACACCAGGACACATTTGATTCAACAAACTCAGGTTTGACTAATGCATATTCAGTAACAGATGCTTCAGAGGAACTGAAACCTTTGCAGTGATGAAAGCTTAATATTATGAACAATGTTGCACGAGATAATTTTTTTGGGTCGCCTGCATTAAGCTGCCAACTAGGGCAATATGGTTTGCTTCCCTGTACAGGTAGTTCATTATGCTCATTTCTCTCATCATGAAAGGAGACCCTATAAATGAGAGACATGGGAAAACCCACTAAACTCAAAACTTGAGTACAGAAATCTTGCAAACTTGTTCAAGACGGGAGAGATGGCTATCTTAAGTGACTAACCAAGAATATTCAGTATCTGTTTGAGAGATCTAACCAACCCTGCATACACACATCAAAACATTTACTAGTGCTCACCCAAAGCAATTTGTGTCAAGAATAAAATATGGCTGTACGTACTAACTGAGCAGTGAGGAAAAGGGCAGACATCTCACTGAGGAAAGTTCCATCTGGTTCTAGACTGCTGTTGAGAACTTTGGTTGCAGGAATGGAGTGTTGAATGCGGTCATCCCCTGACCTGTGAGCAAGAAAATTATTTTAAAATATTTTGATTAAACACTGATACTTAGTTCAGTATATAAGACCTCCAAAGCACACGGTTTGGTTCCATAACCAGCCCAGAGAAATACAAGTTAGCACTGTACATGTAAAAATTAGCTTCTGCAGTCTTACATTGTAAGGAATGAAAGGTCGACGCAGCCGAGTGTCTACATTTTTTTAAACGGGTATTAGCCCACCCAGGCACAGGTCACTGACCCACATCAGGGCCTGGGGGCGAAAATGTAGTAAAAATAATTCAAAGTAAATAGAATTTATAATAAAAATACAAAATTAAAAATAAAATAATAATGATAATAATAACACTGAAATAATAATAATAAAGAACCACCCCAAAAATAATAAAAAATCAGTAGAGAAGAAACGATATATATATATATATATATATATATATATATATATATATATATATATATATATATATATATATATATATATATATACATTATATTTACATGATATATATATATATATATATATATATATATATATATATATATATATATATATATATATATATATATATATATATATATATATATATACATACATACATACATTGGGGTATGCTATAACGAATCTAATTGGTTCTAGAACCTTGTTCGTTATAGCATTCGTTCGTTATAGGATTAATCCGTTCCAGGCCCCCAAATACAACCACTTAACACTGAAAAATATAATATAAAATTGAAAAAAATTGTAAAAAAGTGCATAAATATGCATCTAAACCCCTGAAATAAAGAATATAATTAATACTTAAAATAAAAAACAATAAATTAGTAAAAAAAACAAAAGAAAAAAAAATTTGTTGTAGGAGTTTCGTTCGTTATAGCATTCTCAATTTTATAGGTAAAACCGTTCGTTATAGGAATATTCGTAATAGAATCCATTCGTTATAGCATACCCCACTGTGTATATATATATATATATATATATATATATATATATATATATATATTATGTTGTATTGTCAAAGTAAGAGAAACAATTGAAACCCTGCAATTGTGTGTGTGACATAACTATAGTACAGTAATATCTCCGTTAGCCAGAATCCCTCATACCTGGAACGATTATCCGAGAGGCACATTTTCCGGAAAAATTTCCCGGTACCTGGAAAATTCCGGGATGGGGATGTTTTTTCCGGGCTTGAGAGGTGATGTAATGGGCAATTCTGGAACTTCCGAGAACATTTTTCCATAACCTGGCTAATTCCGGGGATGAGGGATTTTTTTTTCGGCTTTGAGAGAGTCGTCTCGTTACCTGGAAATCTCTCATTCCAGGAAGTGCTCTGCACCAATTGTTCTGGCTAACGGAGGTATTACTGTATTTCGACACTAACCTGGCCCATAAGCCACGCTCCTCTTCTATACTAACAGCTGATTGGTTCATAGAAAATTCAAATTAAATGTGTTCACAATTGGTAAGCAGACCTGTTATTATCTAAAATAATGTTAAATATATGAACTATATCAAAATGCAGATGATTTCAAGGCATTAGCACCTCAGAGAGGCTGTTAGAAAACTTTAAATATTTATCATAAAAGGTCGATATAAATAAGCGCAATCTGGGGGTAGGTAAAACGCTCAGGGGAACCAATCAGCTATTTGTAGCTATAGACAAAGGGCGGGGCTTATGGGTCAGGTTAGCGTGGAAAGGGTATAAAGTTTGGTAAATATTGTTTGCCCCGAGTAAACTTCAGATAATGCTGACCAGGTGTTGGTGGTCATGAATAGCTGAGTATTGAGTGCTTCTGAGGAGAGCAATAGCCTCACAAAGAATCCTAAGAAAGTTTTTTTTCATTTTTCTTTACATCACAGTGTGAAATAAATTTGTCAGCGTGAACCAATATGAAGGTAATGTGTGAATGTGTGCCACCACTAGGAACAAAAAAACTGTACAGTATAATAGTGATATCCCTGTTATCTGGAACAATTGGTACAGAGCTCTTCTGGGTGTTGGACAAATTTATCACCCCTGGAATTATTCAGGGTACTGGAAGAAGTTTTCCCAGAGTCTAAGCTACACGTCTTGCAAGCACATGCACAGAGCTGTATTCATTTACACAAACACCACTGTACACATTGCAAATACACAAGATAATCTTTGGGAACTGCCAGAAAATTTTTTCTCATGCCTGGAATGAAGAATTTTTCCCGGAAGGCTCAAAATCCATTCCAGCTATTGGAGAGTTCCGGGAACCATGGATTCTGGCTAATGGGGAGGTTACCGTATAATATTTTTGCTTTAAAGTTAATATAGATATGCAAAAATAGATAGATAAAAATCAAAGAAGAATTAACAAGTTGTGCTTTTTAAGATGCTCATTTAATATGGAAAAGAGATGTCACTATTGCTGCTGATTTTATGGACAGCTGAAAAACATGTGTGCAGCACTTGAATGACTGTTGCGTGGCCACAGAGCTTAGAGGTAGAGGGAACATTGGTCCTAAGTTCATTTCTCAGCTAGAGTGCAGGACTGGCATCTCATTGTACTGTATATACATTAACCCTATCATGCACGACAATAATATCAAGTGTGCTTACTGGTGGTGGAATAACCATTTCGTGAACTTGCACCAAATAAACCAGGTGGTGTAACCCACAAGCTGCTGAATACTAAGAATCTCGATGAGAATACAGTCGACCCTCGTTAATTCGGACTAATAGGGGGGAAGGGTGTCCGTTTTAGCCGATTGTCTGAATTAACCGATTTAGGGGTTAATATTGCATTATATTTCAAAGTCATTGTTTTTGTCACGATTTTATCCCACTTTCCACTGTAATACGTACGTCATTTCAGCAAAAATATTACATTTCCGTGAATGTATTATATCAAGCACAGTATGAATAGAATATCATTGTAATATAACAGTATTTTAACCGAAAACTAGTAAAAAAACGAATAACATCTCAAGAACATCGGAAGCTTAGGTAAAGTCTTTCATTTTCGTCATGTATTTTATCCTATTTTACATTGAAATACATCACGTTTCAGCAAAACTACTGTTTATTTCCGAGAATATATTCATTCAGGCGAAGTTTAGGTAAAATATACGTGTGATGTAACAGTTTTTTAACTGAAAAAGATTCGAAAAACACGTGTACCGTCTAGCCGATACTCAACAGCTGGTGGTGCGTCATGCGTCGTTGTAAACAATAGGAGGTTGAAGTAGATTACCGGGTATTATATTAAGTGTGAAATATCAAAAAGGTTTTTATTACCGGTATTTTTTGTAGATCAATGAGAACTGTGATTCCGTATATGATAAGTTAGCCTGTGCTAAGAACTTCAACATAGACTACTGAAAACACGTTGTAAGGTAATTTAGCCTATTGTAAGTTGGTGAGCTTCATTTGCTGAAGGAACTGCACAACTTTTCATTACTAATTGGTACATATTTTACATTTCCATTGTTTACTGGCAGTAAATGGTAAATATTTTTCATGTCTGAAGCTAAAAGTTGCATCCCCCCCCCCCCACACTAGTGGTGGAGATGTTACATTTAACCAAAAAGATGCTGGTGTTTTATCCCAGCAGTGGGTGGACCAGCATTTTAGCTTAAGGTCTGCGTAGGTAATATTCCCACAAAAAAAAAAAAAAAAATTCCTTCAGATTTTGTCCGAATTATCCAAAATCCAGATTAAAGGGGTCCGAATTAACGAGGGTCGACTGTATGCATCATCAACCCAGACTCACCTGTCGGTAATGATGATACGTTTAAAGAGCGTGTGCCTCTGAGCTCTGGAACCATACACACTTTTAAGTCTGTGGAAGACGTCATCTATGGATGTGTCTTCTTTCAAGCCATATGTTGAACCTTCCTGCCTGATGCTGGCACCACCACCATGAATCTCCACTACCACAGCTGCGGTAGGTGCAGAAAATGGTGATGTGATGGTTAACCCTTTCCATGGGGACGACTGAGGAAGAAAAAATGTAGATACACTACCATGAAAAATATATTGGTAAATAAATATTTATATAAACAAGTAATTCTTGTCTATCAATTCTGTGCAACAAATATCCTTTAGTGATACTTGATCTCCAGATCGTGAAATGCAAGTCTAGGCAAACGAGTGGGCTACAAATTTTTTTTAAGGGTCTATGCCTGTACTTATATTTTATTTACAGCTTAGTTAACCACCCATGATACAGTGCAGTATGTTGGTTTTTATTTATTAGTCTTCATAATCTGACCAGGTCCATTACAGGAAGCCATGTGGTGCCAGTGTCAGGACCTCTGTCTCTAACAATGTTATGGATAATTTGGGAAAAAATTTTGTAACTTTGGATTTTCATAAATGAGAAAAAAAGAAAAAAAAGAAAGATATCAATCTATCATACCTCACCAACAACCATCATCCTTTCAGCCGATAATATTTACCTGGGCAGGAGTATAACCGAGGGAGGCAGCTAAAACATCATCTAGGTCAGTGGCACGCAGGATCCCCCCAGAACCAAACCTCACCGTTGGTGGGGAGAACGCCACAGTTAGCTCTCCACAGTAAACTGCAAGCAGAAAATAAGATATTCTTACTAGTACATTAAAACTAAAGGATAAGCTGAATATTTTAAGAAGAGACCTTGAATACTACAACACGACAAGGTTTTAAAATAACGGAAATCTTCTTTATGTTACATGACGAGTTAAGATGTGTTTTACTGAGCCAGAAGAGCTACACAGGCATGCCTTTGGGTATACAGTACTAAGGGGAGAGCAGAGAGGGAAACTCGTACAGGAAATAATATACAATACCTGTAGTACAATAATCTATGATCATTCTTTTTAATATTTCAGTTTTGTTGTCCACCCAAATTGTCTTATACTAGTGTGTACTGTATAGTATTTGTGACACTGAAATTTATTCTACTAGTTGTGCTTCTATTGTTCAACTGAGTCCGACTAATTACCCAAATGAACCCAAATGTAGCCACAATGAAATCAAATGATGGTCCTACAAGAATAAATCGAACTGCCAATCACTTCTCGACTAGTAATTGGTGTCACGAAGTCACAAAAAATTGGTAAACTTAATTTAATCCGAGTTAATAGCTCGAGTGCATGTACCTAACCTAACCTAACTCAGATTAAATTAAGTTTACCAATTTTTTGTGACTATGATACCAAATACTAATCGAGAAGTGATTCACAGCCCGATTTACACTTGTATGACCATCATTTGACTTCATTGTGGCTACATTTGGGTAATTAGTGGGACCGGTTCAACTTGTAGACTTCAAACTGTCAACTTGATTGTCTACATCACGCTGAAGGCCTCTATCCCACACAAGTCATCTCCTTTGCCACTACTATTATTAAGCCTACAGAACTACTGTATATATCAATTGCTGTTAAAACAGGCCATAGCATAATGTAGCCACCACCACTGAAAATGAAGGACGGAATTTCATTTACTTGCTATAACTGCGGTTTACGTTTTCACTTAACCCTACATTATGCTGTGGCGTCCATTCCTGTAAGATATTCTCCTTTATTTCCTGATAAAATGGTCCAGAAATGGGTTTCATACCTGACCTGAGCCACCAGTGTTGCTTGGGGTCAGTGTGGGATAGGTGAAATTATCGATATTATACTTTGTTTGAGTCTTTTATCAACCACTACACGCACTTCTAATCTTTACATAATAAAGTTATATATTATTTGGTGGAGAAAGGCGTTACAAACCTGAGGAGAGTAAGGAGAGGAGAACCACCGACCCGATCACCTGACTGGCCATCTTGGGACTGCCTGGGGATCAATAGACAACCAAGGAAAACGGGTACAATAATCTTCTATTTAATGCCATTTTGTCAAGTTTAAAGTCATTATAAGAATATAAAACAAATGGTAAATATATTTAGTTCTGCCTGAATTTTGATGGTGTTAAAATTATGTTTGTAAGACAGTTAAAAGTGAATATTAACACCAACTTCCCGTTCTTTACTATCATGTGACACAAGTGATCGTCATTCCGATAGAAAAATACCAGCAGTATTTTCCTCTCATTTACTCATTATTAAAGAAATAGAGATTGTTTGATGTACTGAAAAATCGTAAAGTATTAATAATTTCAATTTAGGTTGTATATAAATGTTTTTTAAGTAATAATATACGGAATTGAAGACTATGTGACGGAAAGTGTAGTCGTCCCTATTGACAAGTGTGGACCACAACAAGTGAGCCACACCACCAACCTGCCCGGGCTTCTTCACCATTACCTCTTATTATTATACACCTGGGACCAATTTCCCTAGGTACTCCTGTTAACGGACATTCATCTGGAGTTTATCTAGGAGGAGATATAGCCACAAGAGACTGTTTACGATAGGATATATGAGTTGGTGATAACATGTAGAGGAGATTGTTTACCCTTCATGGTTCACAGCTCTGTGTTAACCTCTCTCATCACTTCAAAAACCTTCAAATATTTTCGTGGAATGATAATGTTTTAGGTAACATTGGTGATGTCTTTAGATACTTCATGTCAAACTGAGTTATGTTTATAGAAGGTGGAGGATAAGGTTGCTAATAGGTATGTGTGATCATCTTTATAGAGATGTTTCCTTTTATGTATTAATATACTGAACACGTATCTGTTAGAGGAACAAGAACAAATATGAATGAAAACTTAAATATGCAGTAGACTGACAAGTTTGGTGTTGTCATCAGGGCAGAAATTAAAGGACTGAATTGTTCCTGGGAAAACAAGTAATGAAGAACCCAAACTCTGGGCTTAAAGAACTTTTTGTTTGTCTCTGTTGTCAGAAATGATTAAGTATCAAAGTGTTTATGGAGTATTTATGTAGCTACAGTATAATTTTACACTGGTTCAAAATTTCAGGAAACTGTAATGTACTGACAACTTTTGATTTCATTCCAAGGACCTAAGGAAAAGTATGGCGGCCCTTGAGAAATTGATTCGTGCCTTTGAGGCAGTAAAACTGTCTCAGGGAGGCAATGGTACAAATGTCGGAAATCCTTCAGTAATTTCAAGTGCCGGGGCCCAGGCAGGTGAACAGCGTCCTCCAGAACACTCAAGAACTATGGCGTCATTAGCTTCATCAATATCACAGCAGAGCCAAGGACTGCTCAGGTAAGTTATAACTATAAAATATTGAGAGAGAAAGAGTTTGTGATAAATTTGAAAAGTATTCAAGATTATAATGCCTTAGGGAGAGGGTGTAAGAAATTACATTGGTTTAAAAAGTTGACAAGAGAGACTGCAGTATGGAAAGCTGCCATCAGGTAACTGTGGCTAACCCACACAAGTGTGGAAAATGGCTATAAAAGGTTGATGATGATTAAATTCCAAATTTCAAGTTATAAAATAATGCCAGTGAGGTACAGTACAGGAGGTACTTCGGTTTTGGATAAGAAGGGTCAAGTAATCCCCATGGTTATGCTTTTTAAGTGAAAAATAAATTCAATCAGACTGACCATGTGGTGATAGATGTAGGAACATACAGTATATGACTCTGACCATCCAATGCAGAAGACTGTGCTATTTACAGTATTAATTGTTAAAACAAAATCGTTACTAATTATGAGTAACTAGCTTATTAATCTATGGAATGCTTTATTCGTGGTATAACTTTTCTTTGAATTATTTGAGATTAATACATTTACTTATATTTCATGAAAGTTCTTTTTATATTCCATGACAGTAAAAAAGATCAAGTGTTGAGTAGCAAAGAGAAAGCTGCAACATGTTCTGTCATAGCTGATGCCCTTGTTGGGGCAAAACCTACAGAAATCCAGAAGCTGCTGTCAGTGGGCATAGAGACCCTACTGCTTCTGACAGCTGATTCTGATCCAGATGTCAGGATGAATGCCAATGAATCTCTCAACAGAGTTATTAGAGTAAGTCAATGTTGAATCACTTTATGAACCCTTGGGTAAAATTTGTAATTTTTTGTCAATTTACCTTTAAAGTTAAAATATGCTCTTTGAAATTTTGGTATTTTCATATTCAGGGTACAGTAATAGTTCTTGATGTGAAAGACAGTCTATGACTCATGAACTACTGTGTTCTAATGTGCAGCAGCCTGTACAGTATCCAGGGAGAGAGTGAAGAAAAGGGCAAATTTATGGGATGCCTTGCTGGTCGAGTGTCCTAGTCTAGGGGGGACTTGGGGAGGGGATAGTAACTGCCACCTATCATTAGTTATAGGAGTAGATGGCTCATTCCCAGAAGATGGAGTTTTTAAGTTTATTGAGGAGGCAAAATACACCAGTAGTTTTTGTAATTTTTTAACTATACAATACAATAGTTACAATTATATATATGGTACTTTATGTATTTTCTCTATAATTTATAACATGATTTTTAAAATATCTGTGTAAGTCTGTTTAAGTTAAAGCAACATCATCTGACTAAAACTGTTATGATGCCAGATGTAGCTACTATGTAGTACAGTACAGTATACAGTCAATTATGTAATGGCATGCTCATACTAATGAACTGGTTGTAAAAGGGAAGTTTGAGGATTAGGTATTATTCATGTAGCCTGTATATGTAGTACTGTAGTAGTTGTACTATGTGCTATACATAAACTAATGTCTGTCCTGTATGACCTCCCATTTCTTATACAGTAATTATCCTCCTTGATACTTGTCTGCTCAGTAGCTGGTCTGTCAATTGTTGAAGATAGTTGCTGCTACATGACTCCAGTTGGAGCTCATATGGTTAGGTCACAGCCTAACCTAATCTTCATGATTGAGTCTCAAATCTTAATGGTTAGATTAGGTTAAGTTAGGTTAGGACTGGGACCCAAGTAATGAATCACCCAATCCTCCACATGCCAATTTAACTAAGCATTCACTTCTTTGCAGAGCTTATCAGAGACTCAATTGGGCAAAATCCAGGTTGAACTGTACAAGGAAATCAAGAAGAATGGGTCAGTTAGGAGCTTGAGAGCTGCACTCTCAAGGTTTGCTGCACTGTGTCATCATATTAGGTATGGGTTCATCATTAATCCTCAATTTGTGGATTTTTAATTAGTTTTCTGTAAATGTTTACTTTTTTTTCTCTTCGAGAAATTCTTGTTTTGAGGTATAAGGTTATTAATGCCATTATTGAAATACTATAATTCATATTGTAAACAACTTTTCATTTTGCATCTTAATTTTGTTTACAGTTGTGTTAACAGTTCCATAACACCTCCTTGAGACATTATTCTGCATTAATATTTTAGAGAGATTGAGGTATTTAAGGTTTGCCAGAGAGATATAATTACAATAATACAAAAATATATTAACATTTTATTATAAATTTTTCAGGCCCCAGAAAGGTCGAGCGTATGTTCAAAACCTCCTACCGTATGTGACACGAATGGCTCGCCGGCCAGAAGAACCCTTGCTAGAAACACTTGCTGTTTCCCTTGAAAAAATTATGCCAACCCTTGGTCATTTCACCAACGATAATGAAATCAAGAATCTTCTAAAGGCATTCCTTCCCAATCTCAGCCACACCTCCTCGGCTGTCCGCAGATCAGCCGTGACGTCTCTCACAGTTCTCTGCCGTCACTCTCGTAAGCCACCAATGTTCCTCGGCTGGCTGCTCAGCACTATTCTTCAGATTATGGTGCCAATCCAAGAAGATATACCAACAAGCCAGATTTTAGGATGCCTCTTGTGCCTACGCTCATTGGTACCTCACATAGGGGAACTTTGTGCTCCTATTATCCCCTCAGATACACAGCACCCTCAGCACACCAGTCATCTACACCCTGCAGAGTATACTGTCACGTATGACCAAATGCTTCAGGTAAACACTTCAGTTCATAGATAGTTATAGATACTGAAACTGGATTACTTTTTGATATTTTAAAATATTGAAGTTAGATCAATAATAAGAAAAAGATTTGTGGAGATTAATGTTATATATCCAGCATAGTGAGAGGTTTAAAACATTCGTTTTTGGTCATATAAATGCAAACAGTGTGAGGAGGGAGCTAATTAATTATGTTGAAATTTTACATTAGTGTGAAAATACTCTAAATGGCTTACAGTTTCAAGGAAGATGTCTATAATTGATAAAAAAGTGGTGGTTTTGTATATTTGTTTTATGTCTTTCACAGGTGTATGAGTTATGTCTACATTATAGTGCACATTCAGACCACAATATAGTGACTGCAAGTTTAGAAACACTTCAGGTGAGTTTTCACATTGTTTAATGAGCCTGTATGTACAGTACAGTACAGTATAATGTTTCATAGCATAAATTGTTTCACATCATCATCATATTTGGGGTCCAAATGTATTTAGTGGTGTTACTGTAGTATGAGTCCTTTGACCTTTATTCTTAGCTAGTTCTTCTTATTACACAGATCTGAGGTGAAGGAGAGGGTGAAAGGATAAAGAGAATTATAATTCAGGTTTTTGCAGAGTTATATTAAGGAAGAATGTGTGACAACCAGGAGGGGTCTCTCGAGTTTATTTAAATAAGGCCAAACTATTTGCCATGAATCAGTGACATCATTATAAGAAGCCACATTTTCAGTAAATGCACAAAAGTCTTTCACAATTTAGTAATGGGTCATAATTGTTTTGCTATATTGATTCTCTTTTTTTTTAATTTTAGACTATAAGTATGAATTATTGTTTTGTATTAGAGCTCTATTATTTGTGATAATTGTGTTGCAGACATTGCTCCAGAACCCACCTGTAGCCCTTCTTCTGACTCTCATTGCTCCTGAGGGCATTAACAGATCCAGGATCTTGGCTGACCCTCGAGCCAACGTGCTGTCATCTAGAGTGTCCAGTGAGTGGAGGTCCTCATGTATATTAATCTGTTTATGAACATTACAAGACTCTTTTAAAAACCATATACCAGTACTGTTACCCTGCATGTATAGATTAAAAAAATAAAAATAACATTAAAATTATTAGGTTCTTTATAGACATATGCTGTACAGCTTCACCACCTAGACTTTTGGATCTTTTCTTCTGTATATTTCATACTGCATGGAGGGCATGATAGGAATACCGGGTACTCATTTAGGTTGAATGACATGGAGAGTTGTTATGGTTGTAAAGCTTCAGGTTTACCCATATCATTATGTTTTGAGATTTAGTTTTCATGATTATTTTCAGGTCAAGTGAGTGTTGCTCCATCGTTGTTTGAGGAAGATTTGGACCTTGATGGTGGCAGTGGGAAGGTCAGTATGGATCTGGATACTCCCGATGGGAAAATTGACTTTGAGGAGAGTACGAAAGAAGAAGATGATAAAGGAGGTGGAGGAAGCATTGACGCACAGCAGACTGACGTTACTGAAGACCTGACTGAAGAAAATGTTAGTGCTTTGTACTCCAGCATTGAAATTGGTAAACTGACAGGTGAGGTGCACAGCTGGCCATCACGACTTAATTTTTACTAATCTTGTAATCCCTGGATGTCTACCATAAACTCTCATTTCAATAATTTAGTTTCACACAATGGTATTTAAGAATTCTGCTGTGACTTAACTATTTCATCACTCCCCTTTGTTCATTAAATTGATTTGACAATGGGGGATCTGCCTCATGCACTCCACTTGTTGTATTTTTATATGACCTTATGTTTCAGACACCTCGGTGCTCTTTGGTAGAGGAGAGATGAATTTAAACGGAGAGAAGCGTTGTGTTGAGCGGGACAAAAGGAAACACATTTACCACATATCATCTCATGCTCAGAATAAGTCTCTGGAAGACAAACAACATTCCATTGATAAGGTGTGTCCTCATCTGGTTTTAAGTTGTGACATTTTGATGCACGTGTAAGGATTTTACAGAGACGAGTGTAAAGGAAAAGGTCTAAAACAAACAGTGTAGTAAATGTAGGTTCATCAGGGAGATACCAAGGACAGGTTTAGTTGGGGAGACAGTGGGTGAAGATTAATATGCAATTGTGCCGAAACACAATTTCTCTTGTGTAGTTTTAAGCAGTTTCATTAAGCTACTATTTTATTACAGTGTAACCTCCCTATAACGGACTTTTATCTCCATATAATCTGTTAGATGGAGATTTCACGTCTTTATGTGATTCATTAAATGGAGGTTTTACAACTACGGACCCTCACTGGCCTGCACATGGTCTTTGGGATTACAGTAAATCCTTGATAACTCTGAGAGTTGCTGCATCTAGTGGTACCTTCTGCATCCCTCGTCTCTCTTAAATATGTGGATAAACATACCAAGGTGTTAGATTCATTCTAGTCATAGGAAAACTTCATTTTCAGCCCATCTCACATTTTTCTCTAATTTGCAGGCAGGGGGCTTAATTGGCTCTTTCTTGGGTGAAGATCTTCCTGTGAGGTATCTCGTAAGATATCTCACTTCCTCATTCCTTCTCTCTGGGCATGTTGGGTCGTTAATTCCTGATCGCACGGTGCGAGTCAGTGTTAAGGTGCTGGCTCTCAACTGTGTGGGGTTGGCTGTGACGGTGATGCCCTCGCTGATGGCAGAGCCGCTCTTTACTGATGCAACTGGTGAATCTGGTAAGTAGTTTATTAGTGCTAGTTATAGGTTACAGGAGCATTGTGACACTGGTGATGTGATTGGTGACTTAGGTGTAGTTAGTGAGATTGGCAAATGAGTTATTCTATGTGGTGAGCCCAAATTGGCTATTAGCTTTAGTGAGGTTGAACATTACTAACAACTGGTGGTTAGACTAGTGAGTGACTTATTACTAGGGGTGGTGATGAGACCCTGTAGGGGTTTCATGGGTAACAGGGCCCAGTTAGTTAGTATACATAGCTACAGTACAGTACTTGCTGTTCTTTAACTGCTTGATACTGAAATCCCTTGATAGTTATACATCATTTATGTGCAGGCAGAGCAGAATATAACAAGCTCAATATTTGTTTTTCTTTCAGAGCTTCAGCAACATATCGATGACATTTTGAGGTTTCATAGTCATTCCGATCCTCAGCTTGGAACAAGTGTGGGCACTGTTATTGGACAGTTCATACGTGCTAGTCTTGTCCATGGATGTGGTCAATACAATGACTTTGGTAGGCCAGGATTGGCCTTATCTTCACTGCTTGAAGTCCTTTGTAAGGTTAGTATGAATTTGGCAGAACTGTATAAAGATTTTGAAAAGAACAAATCCATTTTTATTTGTTTTTTTAAGTTGGAGAGATGTTAAAGGTAGTTGATGTTTATTGATAAAGGTGATACTTTTTCATAGACCAGTAAGCAGCAGTAAATACTCTGTAATACTATTTAATGCTACTGACCAAGAAAAAGAATATATAGTTATAGTTTCATTGTAGAGTTGTTTTGTTTACTAAAAAAAATTCAGTTGCATTTTTGTTTAATTTCTTATTGACTGACAAGTCTTTGTACACCTTTTGTACCTATGCAACGGTGGAAAATTTTCCAAACGCAGTGATGATGAATAAGATGGCACTGATATTTAGTTATTAAGAACATTGAAGTGCAGTCACCCACGAAAGTCCTGTCGCCTCTCCTCCTGAACCACAAACCCCAAGATTCAAACTTGCGAATCTGAAGCATTTATGGACAGAAAAATGCATCACTGTCAACTGGTTCTGGTTCACGGGTCTGAATCTCGGGATTCGTGATTCAGGAGGAGAGGCAACGGGACTTTTGTGGGTGATTGTACAGGTACAATGATATTCTTAAATTGCAATCTGGAAATATATTAAGAGTTTATAAGTTGATAATCTTTCTCGCACCAGTTGCTTGGAAATGAGTCAAGCGTAACGGCACGTGGAGCTGTTGGAGGTCTGGGGTTATGTCTGGGCGAGCTACTCCATTCTTTGCACGCAGCCGTCATACTCTCCGTCTTGCCTCATTTAGTAAACACGGCGTCAAACCCTTATTGGTTGGTAAAAGTAAGTTTTCCACAGTGTGCTAGTGTTAAGTTGTGTATTTAGAGGATGTACAGCATTTCCAAAAGTGCCTTGAAAATTTTGACATACAGTACATACCTGTATTATGAACTTTTGTATTGTTGTGTTTTGAGAGTAAATTAAATTTCAGGTGGAATTGTGTGACCTGCTGTCTGGGCTGCCTCTGAGCTATACAGATCATGTTGAGAGCAACAGCAGCTATACCACTACTGGCAATTCCATCCCACTCAGGCCGGCTGACAGGTTCTCTCATCGTGTGTTAACGGCAGTTCTGATTCCTCTCTTAGCAGATCAAGACCCCAGAGCTCGTTCAGCAGCCGCATCAGCCTGTGTCAAGTAAGTTAAGTGTAATGTAACACTGGTTCGTGAGAAGTAACAGACAATTGAAAGTAAATTTGATGTACAGGTCTGAAATTGTTGGGGTACTTATGAGTGAAAGCACTATGGGAATTTGTATGAAGAAAGGAATGGTGGTTCACGTATGATTTTCTTCGAGAAAGAAGTGGAAGGGGTCGCAATATACAATATGGTTTTGTGGACAAAATTATCTCTTCGCTTAAGACAGGTAGTTTTTACTAATTTTTTGATGAGTCTTGATGTGTTTAATTTCCTGATTCAGGTTAGTACCTGAGATAATGAGCACTGGTGACCTGATTCATAAAGTGGCTTCCAGTCTTGTACATAGTGGCCGTCTCAAAGGTGACAGAGAGGACCTCGGAAATAATCCTCAATCACTTCAGCACTGGTCCTCTAGGGGCCTCCCCTCTTTGCCAGTTGCACCACTCTATCGTCTCTTTTCCGAGAGATATAGTAATCTTATTGAAAGGTAAGCAGTCGGTAGAGGTTTGTATTCTCGTGTTAAAACAACTTGATTTGTTGCAGGAAAAAATATTTGTAGGTATTTTTGGTCACAAACAACTGGGGGTTGGGGGAATTATTGATTTATGCGGTTATTTTTCAAGTGGTTAATGAAATCACATTCATTCCATTTTTTATTACACAGTTTTAATATTACTGTAACCTAGTAAAGCATTACAATGTTACATATGACGACATGTTTTTCATATGTATATTTAAGCCTCCAACATCGCACATTAATATTGTTGTAAAATGAACTTTAAAATTTCTCGTTTGCAAATCAAAACTTCTAGACACTACTGTGTATTAAAGGTTCATTCTTGCACATACAATTCACTCTTTTTCAGTCATGGTCCAGGGATGTCAGATGCCCAGAACTCAAAGGTGTCACTATCTCTCTCACGCCTCATCTATGCCTTCACAACCCATCTTATGAGTACCAACAGCAAATTCTTGATGGTTTGTATCATGCATTATAGTTGACTTTTATGTAAAGCTGCCACAATACCATGTCAAAGCACCGATAAAACCTGTGAATTTTGTTGTGGGATCCATATTGTTTATAATTTTGTTTGTCTTTTATAAGATTTTTTGTTTTGGGTTTTATGAGAGTTTTCTGTGTACAGTATTCTAAATGTTATTGAAATTTTGTTACTGGTATAGAGGTACTGGATGCTTGAGGTACTGGATGCTTGAGGTACTGGATGCTTGGAGCATTATTGAATTAATGAGATTCATTGAGTGGAATATGGAAGTGTGTAACAAAGAGGAACTGGCAATATCCTCAGCTTTTGAAATATTCTGAAATAACATTAGCGGCTGTGGATATAAGTGGTATATAAAGTAGCTTTGCAAATAACCATTCTATAGTGAACATCTGCTGTAGTTAGTGAGTTGAATGGGAGTACTGTACTGTATGTAGAGAGGACGAGCGAGGGTCAAGGATTGGATCTTGTGTGTGAGAGGTGACCTCTTTTAAGACTTTTTCCCCAAACAATGGAAGCAGCAAGAATTCCTAATGAAAAGGAACAAGAACATATGTATTAACAGCATTACTGGAAAAATAGCTTTGTTTAATGGTACATAAGATAGCATTCTTTGAAAAACTCTTTAGTATCATTGCTTGTCAATTTAACCTTAACAGCTGGGGTGTATAGAGGCTTTGTCACAGCTGAGTGAGAAGTACCCTCCTGCCCTCTACCCAGCAGCCTGGGGTTGTCACATAACTTCTCTGCCAGCAAGGTAGGTACTTCTTTATTATTAAGGACTCTACAATATTCTTAGTAGCTCAACTGACATACTTTATCATTAATTTTCTTATCACTATTTTACCTCTGCTTTACTGGCTGATGTTCAGGTAAAATTCATATCACATATAACTCGTTTCAGCTTAGTTGATTTGTTCATTACTTCACCGACTGTCAGCAATCTATAGTAAACTCTCTCAGTTTCATCTTTTGTTCTTTGTACACATCTACTGTAGATACTTCTTGACATTCAGGAATTAAATGTCTTCTGTCTTAAAACTGGAAACTTTTTAGTACAGGACACACACACACAGTCTTATCTACATCAACATGTGTTGCTGCTATCATGTGCTGCATCTTTAACTTTAATTTACATAAACTGGATTTGATAAAGGCATTCAATTTTACACATATCTCAAAGTTATAAAAGTGATAACCTAACCAAAGAATTTTTTTCCCCCAGTGAAGGTAATATGCATGTTGGACTCATCACACACGTCCTCTCTCTGGCTGGGGAATCTCCAATTGCTGGGGACCTCAGTGTACAGCAGAATATTCTCACTATAGCTTCAAACATTCTTGCAGGTAATTGTATTCTTTACTACAGACATTATCAAAGGATATAATATGTTGCCAGAAAATATTTTTATGACTGAATAAACCTTGATACATTCTGTGGTGCTTATTTATGAATCTTGAAATATGGTGTTTTAGCAAGTTATAGTCATATAGTGAGATGTTCCAGTGTATATACAGTACTGTAGGTGTTAATGAAGAATCTGTTGTTTAGGAATTGCTGTTGATGTGTTAAGACAAGGCCGAGAAGACATTGTGGGAGCTAAGATGCCGTGGTCATTTCTAGGATCATCACAGGTAATAGACAAGTTTTTTTTTTTTTTTTAAATAATTACCACCACATTTCATTAGCTTAGTTTATGTACTTTTATTAAAGCTAATAACTTCTCACTCTAAATTTGTTGTTTGTTTCCCACAAATACAATACCGTATAGTCAAAAGCAGTTGTAACTTGTAATACCTGTGCTTGGCAGGGCTGACTCTCTCTTAGGAACTATCTTATGCCTCAAGTTTTTTAGACTGTATTCGTATCAGTAATTGAGCAATATTTTGTTTTCCTATATTGACCATTGTGCTATTTGATTGTCTTATATGAACTGTCACATAAATTTGACTTAAATTAACTGTTGCTGCTTGGTTAACAGATAACTGCTGTGGCTGAGGCTGTGGTGCAGCACATTTTACGTATATTATGTGTGTACACTCACGTGCTGGAGGACATCATACCTGGAACACGACCAAACCTCTCCCCTCTTGCTCCACAGTCAACACTTTCTCCTATCAAGGTGAGTTTATCACTAACCTACCCTCATTCTTAATTTTTGTGCACACATTTAGAAGGCACTTTATGACATTTTTCAACAATTTGTTTTATCATTGTCTTAGTTCTCCTTCAAACTTTTGTCTTCCTATTCTGTGTTTCCTGAATCTTACGGTATGTATCTACAGAGAAGATCCCGAGGTGACTCCACTGGGGACAAGAACCGCACACATTCACCCAGCAATGGAGAAAAAGCAGGTTAGTATTATTGTATCAGGCTTGTCTACTGTATATAGCAGCAAGTACCCTTCTCTTTTGACAATACACCTGATAATTTTCAGTATTTGGTGAATGTAAATTTATATATATATATATATATATACATTGTGGTTTAGAATTGTCCAAGGAATACACCTTGCAATTTAATGTATGTACATCTTTGTGAGTCACTCTGTGTACTGTAGTAAGAATAAATGGATAACAATAAGTATTGAGAGTGTTTGGATTTGAAAATTTGAAGAAAACTGAAATACAAGTTTGGTTGAGTGCGGTAAGGTGGGATCTGTCACCTCGTTTTCTCTCTGTAGTAGTTTCAGGTATTTTTTTGTGTACTGTAAATGAATTCAGATGTGTGGTTTGTAATCTAAAATCCTTCTTGCTACAGACAGTGAAGAAAAGGAGAGGAAGGCATTGAAATCTGGCACTATTGGAGCATTCTCGTACCTACCAGAATATATAAAGATGTATGATGTGTTAAAAAATGCCTACACAAATTATAAGGTAAGAAATACAGGTATTTACTCATTTACCAAGTCACACTATAGGTTTAAATATTAGTTTATCCTTGGTTGATGTTGCATTCATTGATTATTATTATGCATTTTGCCTGTGTTATCCCATGACTTAAATATCAATCATAAATGTTAAGTAACTTTTAGTACCTTATAATTCTTATTTCTAAATTAAGAAATTACTCTCAGAGGTTGCAGTCAATGTTCGTTAGTCTGTTCCCACAAGAATTTTAAGACATAGGTGACTGTCTGATGTGTGGAACATTGATAATAATCATTAAATGGGCCAGTTAAGGTTGATGTAATGCAACTGAACATTCAGACAAGAGAGTAATTGCTGTGAAAAACTTACTGAGCAAAATTTTTATTATTAATAATGAACTGGGGAAGTTTGGATGTGTGAGAGAGAAATGGTAATGCAGTCATATAGGCAGACTTAAGGTGATATATTAACACAGTAAAATACGTATATAAAGAAGATATATAAGGGACTACCAAGGAAGAATGAGGCAATTAATGGAAATAATGATATTTTTTGTTTGGCAGATGTCCTTGGAGGATAACACAACAGAAAAACTGTGTGGGCTGCTCCGAGTAGCTCTCACCAGCCTGGGGAGACTCTTGGAAGTAGCATCGATGGTAGAATTTGGGAAACTCGCTGATGAGATGCTTCAGTATTTGAAAGTCGTAACAACACTTCTTCCAACACTTACAGTGCAGTGTGGCCAGCAAGTAAGTTTATTGGCCTATAATATGTGGCTACCTGATACCTTTACCATTTAAAATGAGGATGCTATTAATATAACATCACTTACATTGGCAAAAATTCAGGTAAAGTTTGGGGACAAATGTTTGAACATTGATGGCATTAAATATTGTCAGGGTGCCTCGGTCCCTCCACTAAGACTGAAACTCAGTGATAGATAATGTAAAAAAAAATTGAAAAAATTAATTGTGAGGTGTAGTGTAGTGTAGAAGCATTGTGATTTTACTACTGCTGGACTGAAATAATTTGCCAGTTGGACAAATCTGCCAGATTATTTGTGGTAGTTTACAGCTAGAGAAATGTTCACAATTGCTGTGTAATGGATATTTTTAAACATTGTGTTACAATGTATCTGATTATTTTGTGTGGTATTTTTTCAGCTCCTGAAGTGCTTGTTTGGTTCAAATGTCATGGCTCTCTTAGATCAGCTGTACCATAAAGTGTCAGACCCACTGCCTCATGTGTCGGTGGATGCAGCTGGTCCTATAACTAAGAGAACAACAGAAGAACCTGGTAATACTGGCCTCCATCATCTGTGTTTCAATATCCCACTGTCTGAACTGGAGAATGACTTAAGTGCAATGGCTATGTCCAGGAAGGATAGTGACCCCATTAGGTGAGTGATGATAGATGGTTGATGCATGTTTAAGGAATATAATGACAGTTTGATGCTATTACCAGTTTCTTAGTGATTATTATATATCTGTAACATGACTTAGCTTACAACTTAATGTTTATGTAGTTTACAAAATACATGAACTTTGGAACTTATTAAAACATGATGACTGTTCACAGTTTTCATTGTTATGGTTTCTTAGCAGATGTCCATTATATTTCTAGTTTAAGTCTACAACGTAAAGGGAGCACCAGCGTCTTTAAAACACTAGGACGTGGCAATGACAAGTCATCATTAAGCTCTTACATAAGACTGTTTGAGCCGCTGGTCATCAAAGCCTTAAAGGTGAGTTTGAAGGTTTTTTCATATACTGTACAGTTTCCCCTCATGTATACTCTACTGCCTTCACAAGAAGCTGTTTCACATATATATGCAACTTGTTACCACTCAAGTTTAGATTACTGTATACTGTGCTGAGGTTTGCACCTGTACAGTGTGCTTTATCCCCAAAATATCTTCAGTACCAAGTCTTTTCTTGGAACACTTCCCTCAATATAGATGAGGGACACCTGTATATATTTTTCAATATACTGTACTGTACATTATATTAGATAAATATTTTTTTATTGTTGTGTAATGGTTTTATTGCTGATACGTATATCAAACTTGTGTTGATTTTCATTATCTTCAAATAGTAATTGTTGCTTTTCTTCAGCTGTATACTGTGTCAAGTGATGTTATCATGCAGAGGTCAGTCCTGCAGCTGCTGATCCATTTGGTGCAAATCCGGGTCAATTACTGCCTCCTGGATTCTGATCAGATATTTATAGGTTATGTTATCAAGCAGTTTGAATACATTGAAGAGGGACAAATCAAGTAAGTTCCTTCTCTTTAAACATTTGTTAGCAGATGTATTTTGTCTGTATATAATGAAGTATTCTATTCCTGACATCTCTGTTTGTCATCTACCTTTCATCCTTCTACCATTATTAACCAAATAGGATGTAATAGATTCACAAAGTTTGAAGAATATATAACAATAGAGGTTGTAATAAAAGAAAACTTAAGTAGGGTCATTTACTGATACATATCTTACTCTCATCTCACACTTTACCTTACCTTGTACTGAACAACTAAGGTGACAGCTGGTACAGTTTTGTACTTACATCACTGTTTTCCTTCCTAATGCTTCAACACGTGCCATTAGGAGTCAATGCTTATTAATATTTGCATGCAATTATATCTTATAATTCTCTCACTATATCCAGAAATGCATTAAGTATTTTTTTTACTTTCCCAAATATGTCTTCACAATTTGTCTTTATAAGATTTTTCTTTTGTGCAGCCTCTTCCTTCTCTGTATTATCCTTAGTCATCACCAGTGAACCGTTCTCTTACCTTTAAAGTTATTGCAGGATATCTCTTGTTGCCCTCAAGTTTCTGTCATCGTTTCACTCGCCTTATCAATATACTATATATTTACCGCACCCATTTCATGACTTTACAAATGTAATTCTTTTTATGTTACTGTAATTATAAAAACACTTTCAGCCTAAACTTATTGTTGTAATAACAGTTGTCTTAACAGAGTATTCTTGGGTGGTTGTTTCAGGCAGGCAGAGGAGCTGATTCCTTCCATGTTTAGGTTTCTTGTGCTCCTATCATATGAACGGCACCACAGCAAAAGCATAATTGGGGTTCCCAAGATCATCCAGCTCTGTGATGGTCTCATGGCCAGCGGTCAACCTCCTCTGTCACATTGTGAGTTTTACTCCCTCACTGGTAATGTGTCTATCATTTGTTACTGTAGGTCTGAAATATACTCAGTGACTTTTATGTCAAGGTGTACAGGAAGATTTATTTGCATTTCAGAGAGTACAGTAGCATGTAGTTTACATCAATGTATACCGTACCTTTTATATTAATTTAATAATATAACATATCCAGAATTTGTATTTCAAAATACACCAAGTTTAGCTTTAATATTTCATATAGATCTTTGTTTCAAACTTACCATATCTTTTTTGGGGGTATTTCAAAATTTGCTATAACTTGCATTTGTGTTTTGAAATATACCACATCCTTTATTGTGTTTCTCATAATTTGCCATTATAGTACATGAGCATTTTCCTGAGATCTCTTTAAAGGTTTGGTACTCTGCATCTAACACACACACACACACGCACACATGTACTAAGAGAAACACCTGCTCGCTGGAAATATGTCGACGACTCCACCATTGGAATCAGCGTCAGCAATTCTGCTCCCGACTATACCACCCTTCAGGATTTATTGAACAATCTCCAAAATTGGGCCACCAACAACCACGTCACCATCAACCATACCAAGACCATGGTTATGCACATCAACCTCTCCTCCGGCGTTGTCCCACCCCCTTCCATTGCTTTAGGCCCCAACACACTCCAGGCTGTAGATTCCACTAAGCTCCTCGGCATCACCATAGACAAGAAACTAAATTGGAAACCACACATCAGTGAAGTTGTCAAATTCTCCAGTTTCCGTCTCCACCTCCTCCGCTGACTCATGTCCCTCGGAGTTCCTGCACCCGAGCTCCTCATTGTTTACTCAATATTCATACTTCCCAAGCTCACCTATGCCTCCCCTACCTGGTCTTCCTTCCTAAATGCCACACAACGTAAACACCCAGAAAAAGTGCAAAAGAGGGCATGCAAGATTATTCTCTCCCCTTCCTACTCCACATATCAAGAAGCGCTCAACACACTGACCCTCTCGGCTCTCACTGACCATCACCACGACCTCATCTGCAAATTTGGTGAGAAGCTTCTGCACCATCCTCGACACCGGCTCCTACTACCACCTGAGATCCCTAGCCCGAGAATTGCTGTTCGACACCACAACCGCATCCAGCCCTTACGAGCACGAACTGATCGCTATAAGAACAGCCCAGTCCCAACCATTGTAAAAATTATCAATAACTTGTAATCAACCAGTGTATTCACTCTCAGTCAATCTTACTTTTTGCACTGTCACTATGTTGAAATGCCCTGTAGTTTGAGTCTCTCACCACCTAGTTATTATATATCATATTTGTATCTCTTATGTTGCTTGTATATTACAAGGTATTTGTAAATCAAGAGACCCATTCCTCAATTATGTAACTGCATATTTTCAGCCTTTCGGCTGCTATGCTCTTTCAATAAACCATTAATTATTATTATTATTACATTATCCATGTATAGACAAGTACCCTATTACAATACTATTTTTCTTGACAGGTATATTAGCCTTACAACCACTAGTGGAGGACCTTTTCCTGGTAAGGAGTACAACAAGCATGGCGGATCAGCGGGAGCTTGATACTCAGCGAGAAGTCCTCTGCTCCATGCTTCTCAGGCTTGCTCACTATCACCAGGTAGTGTCAGTGTTTGTATTTTCTTGGTTACTGTACACCAAAAATTATCTTAAAAAGCATGTTTTTTGTGGCATTTGAAGACTCTTCTTCCCCTTGTTTTTAAGTACATACAGTACAGGTATCTCAGTTTTATAATGGGAGTCTTTGTAAATATAGCTAATGGATAATTGATGATGGCTTAATTCTTTTCTATGCATTTTAAAATCAATCCTATTTTTATATTGGCAGGTTCTTCGCCTTATCTCCCTGGTGTTAGGTGCAACAATGGAAGCTAACCGAGAGCGCTGGAGAAAGTTGTCTCGGCAAGTGATTGATACGCTGCTTCCTCTCCTGTCCAAGCTGCAAGTCAATCTTGATTCTGAGGTAACACAGGTTGCCCATCTTAACACAAGTCATAAATTCTTTCGTAGATATGGTTCAGTAAATTACATTTAGCTCAGAGTCCTACAAAGATAAGATTTTTCTCTTTCATTCTGAGTATTAATGGCTGTCCCTTGCTCTGAGGGGAGGTGGAGGAGAGGAAGAATAGGATAATAAACAGTACAAAGTATATTATCATAATATATCTTCATTTATTCTTTCTGATAAATAGCACACATTTAAAAAAATATATTTTCATTATAACATCCATAAATTATCTAAATAACTGTAAAAACAAAGTAAAAATGAAGACAAAGAGATAAATGGATCACAGCGTGGGTGGTGGCGAGTAATGGTTTATGGGTGTGGTGCTGTGCTCGTCACTGTATGACAACATTTACTATGTCTTTTGTCTACCACGTGGGAGAGGCAATGTTGAGGAACGCTACAGTGAAGTGGTGAGTCGTAACAGACATGGAGAAATGCTGAACACCATGTTAATCAGTGTTATTGATACATTTCACTGCAGTTGAACAGTGTTTCCAAAGGGTTAAAATGTATGCTCTTTTGTTTATTACTTTTTAAAGAACATATTTTATTTACATTTTTATTTTGGCAGGATTCCCTCGCTGCAGTAGAAGAAGTGATGCATGGAGTTTGTGCCAGTGTGTACCGACCTGTGGACTGTGTACTGAAGGCTCTCTTCACATCTCCTTGTGAACTGGTGAGGAATGCAATACAAGTGCTTCATGTACATATGTGTATTAATATGCTTTGTTATGATTAATAAGCAATGTGTCAATTTGTAAGAAGTTTTGCAATTATTCAGAATGATGCAAGTTTATCATGTTATTTGATTGGTATCTCTGTCTTCAAAATCTCTAGCTGAAACATATGTTCAGTGCAGATATGGTCACTGTCATCAGGGTATTGGGATGAGCTAGTTTGTGGGATAATAGATAATATGGAAGCAAGGGAAAAAAAAAGGATATTCAATGACCCAACAAAATGGTTAAGGGAATTGACTAAAGAATGATATTAAAGTGATAAGGCTCAATTAGGAGAATTTGGGTGATTGTTCAGTTTTTTCTATTGAAGTAAAGCCCAAGGGGAGAAAGTGAGTGAGGAATAGATGAAGAAATAGATTAAAAGTGTAAAATGAGGACAGTGATTGTGAGAGAGGTGTAGGTCTGTGTAAATACTGTACCCAGATATTCAAAGTATATGCTGGAAATAAACACTGAAAAAAGAAGAGTTATTCATATTAATAAATGTCTGCCTGTAAGTGTATGTTCAGGTAGGTGTCCAATAATTTGTGATGCTCTTGTCATTAGGACCACTGAACCTTCCTTAAAACTATTATAAACTAGATAATGAATAATGCCAGATTGGATATACTGTACCATAGCTGAAAAACACAAAAGAAAAAAACTCCTGTTACCCTTTTCTTATAACCCATTATATGACAAAACAACATATTTATGAGCTGTAGAAATGTATCAGATGTTTCATGATAGATTTATACTGTTTGTGTTAATTGATGTAGGAAGCAGCGTAGGTCAATCGTCACCATAGGAAAACTTGTGTGCTAGAGCAGTTGAAGAGAAGATACCGCAGCAAATAAAGGAGATTCTGTACAACTCTTGATTTCACATTACTTTAAGCTGTAGTTGGAAAGGGCAGGGAGGGGGACAATTTATATTTGTTTACTGTATTTAGTCTTGTCAATGAGATTAATCATATTAGTTATCATAGATCATGATCTAACACTTATTGAAATTTTGATGGATGTGGTGCTCTTTACATGAGGCATCAGCATTTCTGTTGGGTCATCCTGCTTGTGAAAATATTGAGATTATATGTTGAGAAATCTCAAGTGTTCTTCCTGAGTTAAGCTGCTGTAAGTAGCTGATTGATGGGAAGAATAGGCAAAGGAAAGGAGAGTGTGTGTTTGGTTTTGATTTCTTCCACCTGTGCCACAGTAGAAAAGCTTGTAAAAGTTGGAAAAAACGATAAACAACATCAGTAACAAGATATTTACTTCATTAATTGCCATCTGCAGGAGACGACACTGGGTGTAGAGAGATGGGTGGGCAGTATTTTGCTGCTTCTTCGTGCCCTCATTACTCACTCTACCCCGGAGCTGGTCTTGGCACGCTTAGAAGAATTAGGTCTAAGTATGGACTATGTACATGGTGACCTAGCAGCAGAGATTGTGCTTCAGGGGGGTTCCTTAGGGCCAGATTCCTTACAGCATCAAGTTCCCGATACGTCGGCAGGTTTCCGAGATCCTCTTAACGTCACCCAGCCAGAAACTCTTCCCCAGGTTGCCATGGCCAGGTAATGCATTGTTTCTCTATGAAATATTAGAAATGTTTCATAATTTATGACCAGAAATATTTAGTATGCCATTAGTAGAGGGAGGAAATAGCTCCTTTTGTGCCTTTCAGCTTCACTCCTTCCTTTATACACAGTTCATGTACTGTTTGCTGTTAACAGGTTTATAGACATTTCTGGCTTAATCTTTACCCCTGCATTACTTTGTACCCAGTTTCTATATCAATCCATGGCTTGTGCAATATCTATGACATTTCTATATCTGTTGCATGCACGTAAAGCGTCTGCACTGAAATACTGTACTGTATAATAAAACCCACAAATCTGCTATACTGTATCAGTAAACTTTTATACTTGTCTCTTCTTTAACACTTCATATGTTTTTCATACCTTTATTTTTGGCTTAGTTTGTTCTTGTATAGAGTAAGACTTTCCACAGGTGCTTGAATTTTTTCTTTGTTTATTTTAAAATCCATAATTTTGAGTGTTAGTTAATGGTTTCCTTACAGATTCTTATTAGAAGTTGTTCGTGTTAGTGTTAGTGAGATCAGGAGTGTGCGGCTCACACTGCTCAACAGTGGACTGGCATCAGAAAGTGGAGGTGGGCAACATTCCCCAGACATGCTGGTTCACCTCTCACACCACCTGCTGCTCACCCTCCTGCACCTAACACTCTCAGGTCTGTGTCTTATTATTATTAGTATTATTATTATTATTATTATTATTATTATTATTATTATTATTATTATTATTATTATTATTGAGAGTTGCTGTAATTGTTGTTTATGTTAGTGTATATTTATCATTCATTCAGAATTGAATATGACCTTTGTAGTCACTGAAACAAATTCCAGGACTGCCTGCTGCCTCTTACATCCTGTAAGATCAAAGCAGGTTGTAAAAGTACAGGAGCACCTCTACTTATGAACATTCAACTCATGAACTTTCAGAGATAAACTGTAATTTTAACACTTTTATATGATATATTTCGGTTAAATTAAACAGAGTTCCAAACAACACAGACTGAGCCTAACATCATGTATTCTTATTGTTACTAGGTCAGTGGAGGGAAGTGATCACCTCTCTCAAGGATATTTGTAGCAGAGAAATTGAATTAACAGAAGAAATTAGTGAAGCACTGCTGTTTGTCTCTGGCTGGTATGCCCCGCTTACACTGCTCTGGTGCAAGCTGCTCACCTGTCTTGATCTCACGTCCCAGAACCTGTGGACCCGAGTCCTCAGAACGTGCCAGAGAAAGTCTGTCACTAGCGTCAGGTGCGTGTCGTATTGCACATTGAAAAGACCGATAAGACGACGAGGCAACCTAAAAATTTGCCGTTATCATGAGTCGTATCTCTGGGGCTATTATATTCCTATACAGTATCATTCATTTAAAGTGGCCATTATTTTTATGTGGGGGTTATGTTTTTGGAAACCATGTGTACACCAGATTCATGCAAATCAAACATAAGTTGATTGTTGTGGGAAAAATGGCGGCATTCCTGGGCCCCAAACACTTTAACCTCCCCTCCCACCTTCTCCCCTTAGTCTACTGAATTTTTATTTATTTAAAAGACTAAAAGAATTTATATGTTGCTCTTTGCAGTAGTCCTATTGTGAGTGAAGCAAGTGGACCGTCCAGTTGCTTGTCATTAGAATTTTTAAGGAGATGTGGACTACTTGTGTTCTCTGAATTTGTGGTAAGTTTTACTTTATTTTGTTTATTGACAAAACATATCTGCCTTATTACTTTATCTTTTTCAAATTGCGGGAGTTTGATCGGTGTCGTCCGTAATTTAGCATTGCATTATTGTTTGGGGCAATCGTCACCTCTTATTAGGTCACCAGTTATTTGTATACTGTTTATGGCATTTATAAATTGTAACTCCTCCAGAATATTACGGTTATTAATTTTTGATGTGACAGGTACGGCACATGCAGGAAGGAGAGTGGTTAACTTGGCTTGTTGTACAACACATAAGTGATGTGGTTATCCTCCACATGGAGCCACCCATTCATTCACTTATTCAGTCCATCCATGCATCACCAGCAGCGTCGGCGCTCCTTATCCAAGCTATCCACGCACGCTGTGAATACGTGCAAAAGGTAAAATGGCTACTAATTTGTCTTAACATTATGTTAACCAATTTTTCTGAATTATTATATTTTTAAAAAGTAAGGAGATTAATAGTTTAGAAGGAAAATATGAAACTTTATAGATGATCAAGTTGTTCTTATTATGATTAACTTCTATAGGCATTTTAGGGGGGCAGTAGTTTATAGGATGTGAAAAGATTAAGCCAAGTTTATACTTACTTTCAGGCAGAGTATGGCGGACACATCATATCATTGGTGACAGGAGTTCACATCTCTCAATCTGGTGCACTGATAACCTTTGTGGTAGAGCGGTTGTTAGCACTGCCATACATGGTAGTGACTCGTGCTGCTTGTGCATTGGCCACTCGCCGATTGCAGCTTCTACTAGCAATGGCACCTGGACAAGTTGTCGTTCAGCTCCCACTAGAAGACCTCACCAAGATAGTTAGTTACATGAAAGAGAATAATCTTGAGAAACGGTAAGTGAATAGCCTTGGGTATATAATACTTGACTCTACCCTCAAAAATTCTCTGGATACCCAAGTACAATAATCCTACTGAGGAAAGACATTTGTATCTGATGAATTGATGAAGTCACTCCTTGCCTGTAGTAATTATTTTGTAGTTACATTATTCCATTTCTTCTGTTTGCTCTGGGGATTTTGTAATAGTGAAAAGGTATGAAAATTTACCCCCAGGTTACATAATTTATAATTATCTTTTAACTGTAATTGCTTTTTGGGGCTGAATTTAATTATATAATTTTGGTGTTTGTAGGTATGGACAAATGTTTGGGCTCCTACAACAACTTTTGGGGCAAGTTCATGGCATCACTGTTCCCCAGGGTGGTGACACCTCTCTACCCAGTCAGCCACACCACAGTCCTACTGCCACCACTCGACTGGATCTCACCTGGTACCTCCAGCTTGTTAGGAACAGGTGACTAGTTTTACTGTTTTACTCCTCTCAGATTTAGACAAGTGATATTACAACCAGCCCTGCACCCCCCCCCCCTTTTTTTATTTGCATATGTGTGTGTGTTTGCATGAGTGTGTGCGTGCATGAATGACCTTCCTCTCTTATACCTGTTATAATTTTCATTCATATATAATAATCGGTCAATCATGTTTATTGGAAACTTATAAAAAGATATCATTAGTCCCACCTGTGAGAGAACTCAGTACAGCATAATGATGCTCTTACAGACACACTAAAGAAAAAATGAAATAAAGAAAAGTGATATACAGTATTTGTTATGGGATGTATTGAGCTTCCTCATCAGATTATTTTATTCCTGATAATATTCATTTTAATGGAGGATCATAATATTTCTCTCTTCCAGATGTATGCAGGGAGAAGGAGGTGGACTGGAGTGTGGCCAGCTGCTGAGTCAACTGGAGTATAGTGAAATAATCAACATTATGTCCGGGAAGACCTTTAACACCGCCTTACTGACACACACCCTCAGACTTGGACTCACCACAACACTACAGGTATAGTATTTTATATCTCATTGACAGATTCACCAACACTTGCATATGGAGGCTTAAGGTGTAGACTTTTGAGGACAATTTAACTCAGGTTATAATTTTCTATGTTTAGTAGCACACTTTACCCATGTATTGCAACAGTTTTGATAAGAGGATACTTTATATACCATTAATGATGATATGATTAATTTAATTTAAAATGACAGGCCAACAGAGACTGGGGTGACTGTAGCAGCTCTGTGGAGACTGCTGACAGTGAGGAGTGTAGTAGTGGGAGTGGTACTGGAGAAGCTCCTTTGTACACTGCCAGCAAAGTGATCTTACTTCAGCACCTCGCCCAGGTGGCAGGATCTTTGCCACGCCCACATCACACCTTCACCCCAGGTATAGTACATTAGACTAAAAACTGTCTTTTATGGTTAAAAGTTACAGTTGCTTGTAGGTGTAGCATCTGAACTGATCTACTTAGCTTTTGTTGTTTTGACAGTTGTAAGAAATTATCATAATTTTTACATGAGATCTATTTATTGTAAAACATTTCTTCAGCACAATGAATGATGGAAAAGTAAAGATATCTTCTTATTATATTAAAGTTGTAGATATATACTGTATATAACACCAGAATTGAGGAATTGAGTGATCAGTGACATGACTAAAACACTTTTACCAACTGATAGTACTGGTTCTGTACTGTACTGTAGTGGCCTTCTAGGAAAGGGGGAAGGTTTGTTGTTAGTTACCAGACTTTGATTAATAGATATACCTGTTCTGTAATGGAATTTTATGATTTTTTTTCAATATAAAATTATTTACAGGCGGGGGAAATAAGTACAGCGAGCGAGTGTGTAAGTTGCTCTCTGGGGACGACGGCATCGGCAGTGTAGTGGATACCCTGGCCCCTGCCGTGGTAGAGTACCTCACTTCCATGACCCGTCTTCCCTGGGGAGCCCAAGTCCTACCAGATAACTCAGAGCACTTACTGAGGTTTGCCCTTTTGGCTATGGAGGTGAGTCAAGTGGAATACTGTACATATGATATAAAGTTAGGAAGAGTTTCATGTTAATTACCTTGAAATGCAGTGTCTCTCATATTTGACTTAGTCTTCATTTTATCATTATCTTCAGTTCCCTAAAACACCACATATAATTTTCAGTTTTATGAATGAAAACATTAATAGAAATAACCGTGGATTGTAAAAGTATGAAATTTGTTGCATAAGTTTTTAGGCTTGTGATGTAACCAGTTATAAATGTACTCTGAGGCATTATTAAGTACTGGACTGTAGGTGTTCACTTTTGTGTTGAAGGTATTTACTACTGTTCTTACTGCTTTTGTTGTAATTTAATTGTAGAGTAATGTAAAGAAACAAATACTGTACTTGTAAGATCAGTTTTGTTTCATTATAACTTGATCTTAAAACACGTGCTACTTTTTTTCCAGTACCTGCACTGGCAGGTGTGGCTTGGCGGTGTGAGTGTTGAAGTAGCCAGCCTGTGCCTAAACTGTGTAGATGCTGTATTACGTTGTGGCACATTGGCTGGCTTATTGGGTCTGCCTGATAGGACATCATATGTGTGCTCTATGGTGGCTGCCCTACACACAGCTGCCTCTCATCTCATCAAGCCACGGGCACTCCCAAGGTATGGTCAACATGGTGTTCAGCTGAGTGGATACATTACTCGTTTAGAAAGTTAATAAGGAATTATATTGAGAGAAATAACACCAGTACTCTTGAGATAAACTGAAAGAATAGTGTTTTTCCTCCTTCTTGTAAGCCATTGCAGGGTAGTTGCTGATTCCCTGATTCTTAACATAGAGCACCTAGACAAACTACCATCAGCAAACACATCAACTAATGTACAATACAGTACTGTCTTTACTGCAAAATGTACAAGAGTTAGTTCACAAGACCTTCAGTCCACCCCAGAACTGAACACTTGTCTTTATGTTTCAAGGTAAACTTTCTACCACTAAGCTACAATCATATTATTATTACATAAATACAGTAATCTGATTACTTGTATGAAATAGGAAAACATGGTTTTGTCATTACAGGAAGGGTAAAAGAATATGAGTTACTCCAGTGGATATTTTTTAAGTTTTTCCTTATTCTTTTGCAGTCTTCCTACGAGCTTGACTCAGTGTTTAAATGGAGGAGAGAGCAGCCTTTTGGTTGCATGTAGGAGACTCATGCAACTTGTGTCGTGGCTGGAGGCTGGCAACCAACGTGATCTTCCAACTTGTATTGCTCAGCCCATTAGGTTAGATTATTGTGTTACAAATATAGAATTACTGTACATTACTCAATTTGATTTGCATTACATTATTTTTCATCTTAACTAATAATTTGTTCTACTCTTATAACACAGGTACAGTACTTCTTTATATCATAACCTGTAATGTACACAGGTAAATCAATTTAATCAATTTACACCTTTGGTTGCCGGGTTCAAACCCAGGTCACCACGGCTGGTGGTCAGGCAGCTTATCGACTGGACCACGATGGGCTCAAAGTCTACCCCACCTTAACTACTCACTTGTAGCCCACCACTGTGGTCCTGATGGGTTAGAGTAGTCTGTCCACACCCAGGTCTCAGACAGCTGTCTGGGACCTGGGTGTGGACAACCAGAGGTGCTAATTGTTTACATATACAGTATATTTATTTTTAAATAATGAAATTCTTAATTTTTTAACAGAAATTTAGATTCACTGAACAATAAAACTCACAAATTCTCTCCATATGTTATTTCAGAATTCTTTTCTGTACTGTGTTCACAGAGGCATTGTGATGGGCTTAGGGCGTATGCCAGTGGTGAACAGTGTTGTGCGAATACCCCCAGACATCTGGACACTAGGTTGGACTTTTCAGTTCTCTGGAGAGCATGGTACAACTCTACCACCCATCCCGGTAGAACTGCTACAGGAAACAGATGTTCTGAAACAGTTTGTATTCAGGTCAGCATTTTATTGATTATTGTATAATTAATGCCATTGTTAGCAAATTTCAGTAAACTGTACTGCACTGTATACCCTTTCCCAAGTTGACTAAAAAGTGGTCCACACAGAATTATACTCCAAAAGTCTGGCAATTCATATTGATATCACTTACATCTTTCTGCTCTTAGGTGCATCATTGCTGTGGTTGATTGTCAATAAATCGCTCCTTCATATGTCCATAAATTTGTCACTTTTTTTCTCTCTTTTTTATCTATCTCTCAAAAAATACTTGTTCACTTTTGCTGAAGCTTTACAGACATGTTCCTTCAATGGTTCTCTTTCAAAACTGTACCCAATGCTATCATACAACTTAAGAGATGATTACCAATACTAAAAACAGAAAATCCTGTGAATGCCTTTTGTCCAAAACTGTCGACTTAATTTTGCTGAAACTTATTAGAATTGTGAGAATTGTTTTTGAATGGTTCCCACTCAAAATTTGGTTTGACATCAGTGTATGTTATCCTAGATGAGTCTGGAGGTCTCTTGGGCCTCTTGTTCCATGACTAGCCTTTCTTCCTAACATTTTGTTTTTATCTATATAAACTTCAGCAATGAATCTGCTTTAGCACTTCATTGTGTACGTTTCTCTCTCTTTCTAAGGCTGACATTGGCAACTTCCTATACTCATAAAATGCTCAGTTTAATTAAGTTTCAAGAGTAGTGTTCAAATAATATATATATATTTTTTTCCCCTTATTGTTTTTTTTTATTTCCAGAACGGAGTTGTTTGGTTGGATTGGTCGACAACAGTTTGAAGAGACCTGGATGGCACTCTTGTCGGTGCTAAATTCTACCCCAAGTGAGAACACTCCAACAGAGGAACTGCCTTTCATTAATCTGGTAATTACTGGTACCGGTATATGCCTCCTGTATCCCCTCACTCATTGTCAGCACCAGTTTTAGACCTGTGGGGGCCCTGTGTAGTTTATGTTAGGTTATGTTGCTTAATTTTAATAACTCGCCCACATGGAGAATTTATTTTTACTTTAAACCTCTGAGTAATCAACAGTGTATCCTAGCTTATATACAGTACACTTCCTCCCCCCAAAGGTTGCCAACTCCATACAAGAATAGAAACATTAACTAACTAGTGACATTATGATAACTTCAGAAGCTAGCTTTTACATTTTCTTTTCTATATTGGAAGTTGGATGCTGAGAAAATGCAGAGGCCCTGTTTGGCCACAAACTGTGAACACCCTTAAATTTGGCACTGCTCATTGCAAATAATGTACAGTAGGTCTGGTGTTCTTAGGTAGCTTGAGTCATAAATCCTCCTTCCTCTCATATTTTCTACCTTGCAATATAGACGATACAAGCCCCCACCCAACCCAGAATTTTGGCAAAACTGGACAGGCCTTCCACTCCATTAGTCTGGATTAGAAGAAGTTTACTTTTTGTATAAAAATTAACATTAAAACAGATTTTCCACAACTCTTTTGGTTGTTTTTTGTAACAGTGGCAACATAGACATTCTTTTCCCTCCTGCCTGGAGAGATGCCAAGCACTTCAACATTATTAACTAGATGATTCTCGAACATTGCAGAACAAATTTAAGGTGATTTACGGAGGGACGATCATACTCGTCTCAACCCACACATTGGACATTGTAATTTTCAGATCTGTGTAGTAACTCTGCTTCCATTATTGGCACCTAAAGGAAGGCATAATGGTTGATTCATTTACAGAGCCTGTCATTGGCTGTTCGAGGAATCACCGCGCTGTTGGTCCAGACTCTCTTGCTGCCTATGCCTGGCAATTCCCACAGTGGCCATTTACTAAGTATCCCAAGAGATAAACCTCCACACTATCTGACTTCTAAGTAAGTGCATAGTTGTTGGTGTCAATTGAAGATAGAAATATGTATGTTGATTTATTTGAATACTTCTTCTTTTAATTGACCTAAACTTTCTGTTTATAATTTTCTTTTACTTTCACTGGATCTGTTACAGCCCTTACTTGTTCTCTCTTGATTCAATGGACATCTTGGGAAGTTTGTCTTCCTTGTACCACTGTCTCTTCACATTTCACACAATTTCACTAATCCTGTTGTCCTCCCAACTGTGCCTCCCTTGCTAATGTGGCAACATCACTCTACTCGTTCGGCTAGGGAACTGATTGATAGGGCTGTTCTTAGGAAACAAGTGTATAAATCAGTTCCTAGCCACATGAGTAGTGTGACTGTAAGGGGTGACAACACACCTGGAGGTAACTGTACCTAAAATATGCTAGTTATGCTATGATCAAATTCAGTAGGTTCCATTTACTATCATTCTTGTAAAGTATACCAAGTCTACTCTCATTGCAAACTTCCCAAGCAGCACAGTCTTCACTGTAAGCTGGTCCTCACTGTACCACCCTTGGTCCTCACTCTCCCATCCCTCATCTCTCTCCTCATGTCTAGTGCCTTTGTTTACACCATCTTCCTTCTTCAAAGAGTCACAGAAGTTCATCCATGCCACTGGTGTCATGTGCCTTTCAGTATTCATTTTCCTTGCTTGTTTAATGTTATTCCATCATTTTCTGAACCATCTTTACAAGTATTTCCTTTATATATATATATATAAAGAGGCATGACCTCACACCCAACCTTAATTCACTATTGAATTTTTTTCAGGTCCGGTCGGAAACTTCAGGAGATAATGTCACGTCTTCATGAAAAACTACGAGAAGTACAACACTTGATCAAAGGAGGACCTCGTCAGACTCCATTATATCAGCTTAGTCAGGTGTCTGTTGAGTATTTAGTTACAGCTCTCAACAGTCATGCAGAACCACCAGAATCTCCAGACACAATCTTACACACTGGTAAGAGTGTTGTTTTCCCATCCTTTTACAGTTCATGCAAATAGCAGCATCACTGTACTGTACTGTATATCCCATTACATTTATGTCTGTTTGAATTAGTTTTACCCAACAGCTGCCATCAGGTAATTAAGGCTAACCCATACAAGTGTGGAAAATGGCTGTAAGATGATGATGATGGTGTTTAGTAATCTTGTTCTTTTAATGTAAATGCTCCTCTCAATTTTTAGGTTGTTATGAATTTGAAATAAGAGAACGACAGCTGGCAAGTTGTGGTCTTGATGTCCAGTCATGTCTTCACTTCCTCCACTACCTGTACTCATCATGGCTGCGGCCCCAGGTAAATCATATATTGTAGACTGTTTGTAGGTATATTACGTATTGTACTTGAAAATTTATTTAAAAAATAATTTTATTTTCAATGGATGTATTGATTTTGATATTATATTGGATAAACATATTATGTAGCAGGATACTGTATGGTGTGAGGAGAAATAATTTGATAAAGAGAAACTAACTATTCTAATTATGCTACAATAGTTCTGCAGATATATTAACTTGAATTGTACACTTTTCATGTAATATTTGTACTCAATTCATATCAATTGTAATGCAATATTTACATGTTTTAGCTTGGTGTAGGGAACTTTGTAAAAATTTAATCCTGACATAATTATCTTTTCTCCAGAGTGGCCTGTGTGCATCAGTAGTGGCTGAGGTAGTGAAATCAGTGAGTTGTTTATGTGACTTGTTCTGCTCAAGTGCTCACCACCACTGGGTCCTTGAGTCTCTGTTACCTCTACACACACTCCACCCCATTGAAGACCACATCACCCAGCAGTACATCATTCTGGCCACTTGTAAAGCTCTGGCAACTCTTAGATTGGCCAAGCAGGTGAGAAGTATGGGTTTTAAGTGACTGATGGATGGATATATAAATTACAGTACTGTAGCCTTTTAAGGATGATTGTATGCACCCAATTTTCAAAACCACTTGAAAATTACAAGGGATTCAGAGAGAATTTGTAACAAGAAGTGCCACTGGCTGAAAACCAGTGATTGAGCAAAAGCACTTTCAGCTTCAGTAGTTGAAAATATTGCTTATTGGCTTTATCAATGAGTTCTGCAGAGGGAGGGGGATGTAGTGCTGGTTTTGATATCTTTCCAAGTGATTATCAATGATATGATTACATACATACACACCTACTGATAAAACCAAACTTGCATGACATGCAGGGAGTCAGGAAGCAAGAGGAAATTAAATCTTCCACTATTTGCTGTCACTCATACTCAGACCACTGTAACATATGTGTTTTGTTATGGAGTTCAGCAACATTTCCATCCCCCAAATATATTTAATCTCAGATTGCCGGCATTTAATTCTTGGTCAATGTAGCTGGAGTATGAATGGACAAGATCATGCCCTCAGAGTAGGCCAGTATCATGCCAGTGTCATGCTGAAAGGTAAAGGCAATTAATCTGGTGTCCTTCTGCAGCAGCCACAAAAGTACAACAAATTTAAATTTAAAAAACTTTTTATAAGTATTTTGTAGTCCTTTCTTTATATATAATATCATTATGTGTTTATACAATATTTTGTAAGCATTATTCATATACCAATGGGTCATCTTTTGTAATTTTTAGGAGGTGAGCTCGTCACTAAGTGAAGGTGTGATACATATAGTGGAGAGTGGACTAAAGAGTGGACAGGTGTCTGTGCGTACCTGTGCCGTCCAGGGCCTACTGTACCTTCTTCAAGGCCCCCCAGAGGAGAGCCCACCCCTCATCATACTTGCTGCTAATTATATTCTTAAGTACAATGATGGGTAAGTGAGGCATCAGATAAATTTATAAGTATATGCTTTCTGTTATTTAGGGATGGGAAGTTGTTTATACCATTGAGATTTGAGATAATTTTACCTTTACAGAAAGAGTCGAGAGTGTGAGAGTCATGAGGTGGCTGTATGGGAGGTGTGGGTGTATTTGGTAGAGCATTATGAGACCCTGCCAGACCCCACTTTACCCTCCACTGCACTCCACATGGCACTATCAACAGCAGCCACTTCTTCCACTACTCCACGTCTCCTGCATCAAGTTCTGAAAGGAGTAGAGAGGCTGGTGTTAGTGCAGCAGCTCTCCAGCAACACGGTAGAAGTCATATTCAAACTAGTAATGGATTTAGTTCTTAATGGTTCACCTTCCACTTCTCTTGCTGCCTTGCCACTGTTCATCACTGCACTCTATGCCAATGTGAGAAATACAGCTCTTGCACAAGATGACACGGCATCTGATCCAGAAACGCTCTTACTTGTGATGGAGAAGCTATCAATCTTTTTTGACAGAATTAGGGTTGGTTACCCCCATGAAGCTGGTGTCATTGCTGGTCTGCTTGGACCTTGTCTATTAGATGTCCTTCCTGCTAGTCAGATCCTGAATAAAGTTATCACAGAGTATATTTCCAGCCATCAGCCACACCCTCATTTACTAGCATCGACTCTCTTCCAGGTGTTTGAGGGGGCTATCAGTGAGAGTGGGGAAGGTTTAGTACAGGAATGGGTTCTTCTGTCACTTAGCAACTTCACACAGCGTAGCCCCACCTCCCTTGCAGTTTGGTGTCTCACTTGTTTCTTCATTGCTGCCTCAAGTAATAGATGGCTTAGAGCAGCTTTTCCATCTGTTCAGGCACGTATGGGTAAACTGGATTCGCGTGACATTCAGATATTCTGTCTCTCTGCTTCTCATTTTCGCCAAAGTTTAGCAACAGAGGATCAGAAAGCAAAGTTTGAAGCAGTGTTTCAGGCTGTGGCAACTCCAGGGTCACCATTTCAAGAGTTATTAGACTGCATCAAAGATTAGTACAGTCGTCTAGTGATCTGTATTTATGAGTTATATATCGTAAATCGTCGTATTAGTTCATTTCCCCGGAGAACCCTGTTTTGTTAAAAAAATGAAAGAAAAGGGTTAAATTTTTTCTGTTCGGTAATGCAAACTCAGAGTACTATTACTTTGGTAAACAAGTTGCAGGACCGTTTGGACTGTTTTATCGTGCCACAGGAATATGTTTCGGAAGTTGGCTGTTGGTTGTGGAAATTAACTTTATGTATCACATTTACGTTCATCGTGAATCTGTTGCTGTTATGTTTTATTGCATTCATACATTCATGTATTGTTTACAAGGTTTTATGTTATGCTACAGCAGAGAACAATATGTATAGTTATCTGCAATTTTTTTATATATAATTTGATGATTTCAGATGTAATGAATATAATTTTAAGAGATCTCATACACGCTAAATTTTACGTACAGTATATATAAATTACACTGTATATTAATCATCAGATGCTTGCCTTCAAATATATATTTTTAATGCATTGTTAAGCTTTTAGAAAATTGTAGGGAAAAATTTTAACTTTTGGGATTATATTGTATTATGTACCAAGAATGTATTCATTTATCTTATTATTTATATAACTTTTTGTTTCTATACTGTATAACTGTTATTAAGGAAACACATTCATTTTAGGCTGATTTATGAAATTTTAGAATTTATAATATGAACTGCAATTGGTATGAGAGAATATTCCATATTCCTTTGCATGGCTGTGATGTAAAATTATATCAGTTTGTCTAGGCTTATAATTATCTCTCTGTGATGACCTGGGAGTTTACTGCACACACACGCAAACACACACGTGCAAACGCACACACACGCAAACACACACACACACACACGCAAACACACACACACGCAAACACACACACATGCAAACACACACACACATACACACATGACGGTTACTGTATAAGAATGGCTAGCATCAAGGTTACAGCACATGTGAGAAAATGTCATGTATACCTGCTATACAACTGTTGAAGATCACTCCACACCTGCTGAAGATCACTCACACCTGCTGAAAATCACTCCACATCCACTGAAGATCACTCCACACCTTCTGAAGATCACTCACACCTGCTGAAGATCACTCCACATCTGCTGAAGATCATTCCACACCTCCTGAAGATCACTCCACACCTCCTGAAGATCACTCCACATCTGCTAAAGATCACTCACACCTGCTGAAGATCACTCACACCTACTGAAGATCCTCCACCTTCTGAAGATCACTCACACCTGCTGAAGATCCAATCACACCTGTTGAAGATCACTCCACATCCACTGAAGATCACTCCACCTTCTGGCATCACTCACACCTGCTGAAGATCACTCCATCTGCTGAAGATCATTCCACACCTCGCAGAGAATCACTTACACACACCTGCTGAAGATCACTCCCACATCTGCTGAGGGATACTTCACCTGCTGAAAGATCACTCCACACTTGCTAAAGATCACTTGCACCTGCTGAGATGCGCTTTCACACCTGCTGAAGATCACTCACAGCTGCTAAAGATCACTCACACCTGCTGAAGATCGCACAGCTGCTAAAGATCACTCCACATCTGCTAAAGATCACTCCACATCTGCTAAAGATCACTTGCACCTGCTAAAGATCACTCACACCTGCTGAAGATCACTCACAGCTGCTGAAGATCACTCACAGCTGCTAAAGATCACTCACAGCTGCTGAAGATCACTTGCACCTGCTAAAGATCACTCACACCTGCTGAAGATCACTCACAGCTGCTGAAGATCACTCACAGCTGAAGATCCTGCACCTGCTAAAGATCACTCACACCTGCTGAAGATCACTCACAGCTGCTAAGAATCACTTGCACACCACTAAAGATCACTTGCACCTGCTAAAAAGTCACTTGCACCTGCTAAAAGATCACTTGCACCTGCTAAAGATCACTTGCACCTGCTGAAGATCACTCACAGTCACTCACTTAACCTGCCCCTCACCTATGCAACCCTTAAATCCATTTGCCTTCATGTACCAGTACACATTTTCCATAGAGTACAATGTCTTCATCATCATCATTGTAACCTGTATCCATGACATTTAACAAAAACATAAGTTAAGTTTAAATAAAATACTTGCAAACATTGAATTTATATTATTTAATATTTTTTGTTCATGCTTCCCTTTGATTTTAACAGCAAGTGTTAGGAAATAATCATAACCCCTTTCCATTGTGCAGATCTGCTTGAACTCCTCTGCAGGTGAGGTGCTGGTGATGTTTTTCATCTGATTCCATACATTCTCTATCAGGTTTAGGTCCAGTGAGTTCCCAGGCCACTGCAGCACTCAAACATTTTGTGAGGATTAGTTTTTTTGGATGCACGACAGCACTTTTTGCAGTTAGTGTTGAACAGTTTGCTCTGACATCCCGAAGGAGGTTGTGGTTGGCTTTCTTCATTTCGACAGAAGACATTGTCAGACTCTACATCATTTCTCATCTCTTGAGCATGTGAGTGACCTTGGAGGCCTTTCTGGGTCTCCTAGTAAATGATTTACGAGGTGGAACAGAATTGGCAGGGAAATTGTATTCCGCATATCTCAGTCCTAACTTTTACTGTGCCTCATCCTGGGTTTCTCTCAGAGGGACTTTTTCATCCAGCAGGGCAATGATGTAAGCCTGTTCTTGGGATCCATGGTGGTTGTTCTAATCGAAAAAAATTCCACTAGTATTGCAGTTTGTGATTTTTTCTGTAATCAGAATGTGATAGAAGCCAATACAACGGCCTCAGGATGCAGGTAAACAACTGGCCGTGAGGAAATCTCAGGCATAGAGGCCTGAGGCACCACTAAGTTGGCAAATTAAATATTTCACACCCAGTTCAATTTTGCGGGCTGTAAATGGGCTTTAATTTTAGTATAAAAATACCTCTAATTACATAATGGGATCAATATTTCATGCGGACGCTTTACATCAGCCACATTGGTGAGTTAGTCACTTGATCAACTATCTCCAGTAGCATCATTCATCATGATTATTTATTCATTGTTTGCAGTATCATGTCACTTTACTTACATCATCCTCTCTTAACAGATTTTCTCCTTTGATATCTTTAACAAACAGCATCTTGAAAATATTGATAGACATTTTATTTTGATACACTCTTATCACTGAGATCACTACTTCACTGCTCGATAAGAAATAATATTTATTTTGAGAGAGTAAAGTAAAATACCATAGTGTATATACAGTATAGGGTATTTATGTGTATAGTTAATCACAAAAATATATTACAGGTATTTTAATAGACAAAGTGAAAGTTAGAGTTTAAATTATATGATAAAAGTTGTGGTAAAAATATTCTGGTGTTTTCTGGTATTATTAAGTTATCTGGGTGTTGTTTTCTTAAATTTGGTCAGAAAAGAAAGGAAAGGTGATTTGGAAGATTTAGGCAGCCCTGTAACTTTATTGCCACCATAAGCAGAGCTGTGATTGTGCCACTGTTACTGTTGAACCTTTACAGAATCTCAGGTTAAAAGTTCTCCTCCAGTTCTTGTCTCTCTTATGTTCCAAGGTGCCATAATTCAGTCAAAAATTTGGATTTCTAGCCCATGACATACAGGTTTTATTCAGATCAGGTCACCCACTTTGCCTCTTGACTCGACCTCACATTAAATTGAAACCTACATATATGTGTGAAAGCATAAAGGATTTTCTCTTCCCAGCCACTTTCTGCTACATTACTCACTTAGGGATAGTCTATATATATCTGGCTGCTGGCACCAGATGGCTGGAATTAAGGGTAAAACAGACTCTCCCATCATTTGTTGCCAGTCATTCTCTATATTTTTATGTTAAACTGAATTTCAATGTTTCTAGGTACCTGTAGCCTGTAGTTGTAAACTAAAAAGAATCATTATGCATTACATATTTTATTAATTATCCATAAACACACACACTGATGTACAAAAAGTTATATACTTATGTAATCTCTTTATCAGGAAATCCAGTACATTAGTATGCTAGCTTATCAGTATACTGTATGTTTCCTCCAAATTTCTGCACATTATATTTTTCACTCGGATGCTTGATCAATCTACCCCAAATTCTTACGTTTCTTTTCCTTTATTATACATCTTTGACTACCTTGCTTTGATCTCATATCATACAAACTTTACATCATCTACTGACTCTCATGGACCACCTCATAGCATATGTTTCCTTGAGTAATCTTGCCAACATAGTGAGTTTCTCCATCTCTCATATCAACTGTCATTGTACATGTATGTCAATACTTTTTCACTCATGGTGTACTTCCCAGTGATCAAGCAACATATCTCTGCCAAATATCACTGTCACATGCTGTGTAATTTAGCCTTGTTTTACATTCTCATGAAATAGAAAAAATTTATTGTAAATGACCATGTTACTATATTGGGTAATGTGGTATTTCATTCAACTTTGGCTTACTTGTAGTTATTGTAATTGAATAGCAAGTTAATACTGCTCTTTTGTGTACTGCTTTAAATTTATAAGTTACTAAAGTTTTCACTTAAGTTAGGTGTTAAGTAAACATTTACAAAAGACATTTAGTTACTGTCTATGCATTTGAAGCTGTGTTAAGATCCATTTCATAGGTCTTAATTGCTATTGTTTCCAAAAGAACATAAGGAGTCAAAGGTTAATGTGCTGGGAAAGCATACACCACATACTGAGAAGTGGACACAATAATGGGACCTACAGTTAGTATAGAAGACAAGTAACAAAGTTAATTTGTAATTCTGGGGCTCAGATGCATGACCTTATGTCCAGTATTAAGAATGTGAACTGTATTTCAGTCTTAAGTCTGCCAAAAAGTAGCTTTATAGCATAATGTAAAACTTATAAATACAGAAAAAATTGTGATAACTCTTAGGAATACAGTTAACCATAAAACAATATTGACTTTGTGGGTATGCACATGCATTTCTACTTGAGCCACTTGTGAAGAAGATTAAACTAGGAAATAAGGTAAAAATCATCATGCATTTTACAAATCCTGGTATTATAGAGCACATAGCTAGTTGTTGCAGGTCCAGCACGTATGATGCACTGCTCTTACTGTAAGATGGGCAACAATTCTTATTTCTTATCTAAAATAGAATTTCCAAGAATTATTTATTAATACTTATTTTACACGAAATAATAATTACTGGGTCATATAATTCATGATTGATTGTGTAGAAATTGATGATAATGTAATCTTTATATGTACGGTACGGTATATCATTATACGTACAGTATTTGGAAAAGGAGAATCTTGAACGTAAGGGTTTAATATGTGTTAGTCTACATAAGTTAATTAGTTATATTATACAGTATATCATACTTTCTTTGTGTATTACTTCGTGGCTGATGACAAAGATGTTAATTGAATGAATGGTGCTGAAGTGAAGACAAAATATTTTCATCTATTCCACAACATGATTTTAGCCATTTCATCCTATGTCATTCCTGCTGGAGTGTCACTTAGCTGTAGATATATGAGCTTCCACTCACCTGGGTAGGCACATGTTGTAAATTAACTAAAGAGGTGGATGATTGTGTGTACATAGATGAAGTGTATATATATATAAATGAACTGATTGTATAGATAAAAAATATTATGTTAGCTTTTGTTGAGAATATCTGGTAATAAAATAAAGGAGAATAAATTTGTTTTACTTTTTGTCAAAAGTCACTAGCTGAAAGTCTTTTATGTTCAATTTTCATCATACTTTTGATTGTTTTTGTTGAAAGGACGGAAATTGACGTGAAACATGTAAGGCACCCAAGGGAGTTGTGGGAGAGCTACCAGAACCTGTTACTGGTTGACTTGTTATGAGGAAACCATCTCTCTGGTGTCCATCAGTTCATATGTCTGCCCATAATAAGTCTGTGATTAAATTCAATGGTTTAAGTTTTGGAATGAATCTATATTGTGGCAGATTCTTGTGGGAAATTGTGGGCATGTTGCTATCCCAAGTAATTTTAGTTACAGCAAAGTATTTGTCAGATTGCAAATTTACACAATGAAATAATCTATTTTATGAAAGATCTGAGCATTGAAGTTATAAAAAAAAAATTTTTGTCTTGTTTTTTACATATATTATTTTTGCTATTATTATTATTATTATTATTATTATTATTATTATTATTATTATTATTATTATTATTATAATTATGAGAGATGCTCCAAAGGAGGAGGAGGAGGTGAGAAAGGTCCCAGGGAGGAGGAGGTGAGAAAGTTCCTAGGGGAGATGATAAAGGTCCCAGGGGAGAAGGAGGTGATAAAGGTCCCAGGGGAGAAGGAGGTGATAAAGGTCCCAGGGGAGGAGGAGGTGATAAAGGTCCCGGGGGAGGAGGAGGTGATAAAGGTCCCGGGGAGGAGGAGGTGATAAAGGTCCCAGGGAGGAGGAGGTGATAAAGGTCCCAGGGAGGAGGAGGTGATAAAGGTCCCAGGGGAGGAGGTGATAATTGTCCCAGGGGAAGAGGAGATGATAAAGGTCCCAGGGGAGAAAGGAGGTGATAAAGGTCCGGAGGAGGAGGAGGAGATGATAAAGGTCCCAGGGGGGGAAGGAGGTGATAAAGGTCCCGGGGGAGGAGGAGGAGGAGGAGGTAAAGGTCCCAGGGGAGGAGGTGAGATGATAAAGGTCCCAGGGGAGGAGGTGATAAAGGTCCCAGGGGAGGAGGAGGTGATAAAGGTCCCAGGGGAGGAGGAGGTGATAAAAGGTCCCAGGGGAGGAGGAGGTGATAAAGGTCCCAGGGGAGGAGGAGTGATAAAGGTCCCAGGGGAGGAGGAGGCGATAATTGTCCCAGGGGAAGAGGAGATGGTCCCAGGGGAGGAGGTGATAAAGGTCCCAGGGGAGGAGGAGGTGATAAAGGTCCCGGGGGAGGAGGAGGAGGAGGTAAAGGTCCCAGGGGAGGAGGAGGAGGTGATAAAGGTCCCAGGGGAGGAGGAGGTGATAAAGGTCCCAGGGGAGGAAGTGGCGGCATCATCGACATGCGTGATTAAGTTGAGGTACTCCACACCACACAGCGACTTACGTTACCCGATCTGTACACGTGAACCCAAACTGTGAGGAGAAAGCAGACCAAAATAGTACCATAGATTAGGACGAGATGTATAGTAATTGTTGACGTCAGGCGAAAGCTTTGTGTTGTCTGGTTACCTATATACGTGTCAATTGACCTCAAGATTAGCGGGAGCGAAGCAGTGTATAGAGTTACATCATGTTCCCGTTATTCTCCATCTGTCATTCTTAAGCTTGGTCTTGTGTTTAAGCTCTTGTTGTCTTGTGAAGGACTGACCTCATGTTATGTATTTCCCAACCGTAAAAGACAATATAGTATCTGAGGATGGATGGGCAATACAACGAGGAAAACAGTTGATCTCTCTCTTGACTGCTGTGTTGTTCCTCCTTGGTGCCCAGTATCGACCCGTCACCTCTTACGGCGTTGCTAGATTCTCACGGACATCCAAACTATCATTTTTAAAGCCCGGGTGTCTCTCACTTACGTGTATAATCGTGCATCTGAAACAAGAGTTTATCTATATTCATAATTTCATAAATTATTAAAATGTGACTCCCGTAAACGCAAGGACAATCACCCATTGAGTTAGGAAAAAAGGACGTGTGTAGTCCACCCCTGGCATCTCCTCATCCGGATTTGGTCTCGTCTGCGCATGATCAGGATAACATCGGGATGACAGCTCTCATCATCATCCTCTGTTATTCACATTATCGTTTATACCTTATATATCAGGAGAGAGAGAAGGGGAAACACCGCCAGGAGATGGTTGACTGGGTAGAGGGTGAAGGAGGGAAGTGCCGGGGAGAGGAGGATGCTGGTGGTGGTGGTGGCGGGTTCCTGCTTGTACCGCTGCTCGACGCACTTCCGGGATGTTGGGGATGATGTACGGCAGGACCCTGTCTGTCTATCACTGTGTGTGTGTGACTTAAATGTTTGTGAATGTGTTGAGGTGTCTGAATGTTTGTGTATGTTTACAACTGTATTCGTTCCTGTTTGTGGCTGTGTGTGTATGTTTTGTCACTGTACTTGTGTATTTTTGTGACTATTTTTATGACTGTCTTTGTCTGTGTTTTTGACCGATTGTAACCTAACAGTAGATTGGGTTTGGGTGTTTAATTATCAGGTGAAATAAGCTGGGGTGCCTGATCTTTACTCTACACCTATATTGATTTTATTTATTTATATTACCTGTTATTAACTCATATTCTTTAACTGACCAGTGAATTTGCATTTTTGTCTACCCTCGTCCTGCCTGCCTGTCCGTGCTGCAAAACATAGCAATGGAAAATTTTGGTCACTCTTTCCTCCATTTCCAGTTTGATATCATCCAACGTTTTCGTCGCCTCTGCAGGTACGTTTTCTTTCAACATAATAGATTTTCAAAGGGAGACTCTTATCTTTTGCTCGTCCTCGCCTTGGCACGAAAATAGTCCCTCCTTATCTTTAATTACTGTTATCTCCGCCATTTCTCTCTCTTAGATTCTTTTACCTTTTTTATTATATTATTTTATAGATGTAACTATGAGTACATTAACTCAGACCTCAAGCTAAAACTAGGGACTAATTGTTGTGTAAAGAAAGTGTTTAACCGGGAATAAAAATCTGATAATGAAAAGGAAAAGGTTAAAAATGCATCATCACCAAGTGGTAGTACTCGTCTTGATCAGTAAAGTCAACCAGTGTTTGAACTCGATATATTTTCCGTATTTTGCTGTTTCCTTTTCATTAACGTTTATTTTCCTTCAATACTTTATGCAGGAAACAAATAAAACCACTACAGCTCGCCCCGTCTACCCACTGGCTGGCTGCATGTGTGTGTCAGCGCTCAACACGAAGACCCACGAGAGGTAAGGATGGTCATATATGGCGTTGGATATCTCACTTAAGTAATTTGTTTATCATAAAGTTCACTGAGACTGTAAACACAACAAATTATTCCACCTGACAATCATTTCCATCTAGTGAGGACGATTAGTCTCAGTGGGTCAGTTTTTATATCGTATCTCTTAAAAACTTCACCCCTGTCTTCCTATCTATTCTGGAATCTTTATTTTCCTCTCGTTTTTTTATTACACTTTCCTTGCGTTCTCTTTCCACTTCCTTATTTTTTTATTTCGTGTATTTATCAATTTATTTAGGATTATTTACCCTCTTTCAGTGTCCACAATATAAGCATTAGTCTGTTTTACGTTTTTCTACATTTTTCTTCTCATTTGTATGCCCTTGATCACTTCCTCCTCCTATGCTGTTTCAACAGAGCTCTCTCTCTCTCTCTCTCTCTCTCTCTCTCTCTCTCTCTCTCTCTCTCTCTCTCTCTCTCTCTCAGGTAATTTACACTTCAGACTGTCTCCTTCCTCTTCACAGCTCAATAAAAAATCAATTTGGCTTTTGTTCAACTCGCTTTATATGTGAGTCGGTGTTCTGTTGTTTTATGAGTCGAAGTCCTGTTGTTTTGATCGTTGATGACAGTGATTATTATTATTATCATTATTATTATTATTATTGTTGTTCTTGTGATAGTTACTGTATCCTTTCTAGTTCTTGTATCAGTACCTGTAAACAAAGGAGGACTGAGGCGAGAGGTGGTCGTCTCCTCCAGCGGGTACATTACTGAGTCAGGGTGTTGGTGAAGGTAGCGTTGGCTTCTAAAACTTTTCTTCTCCTTCTTCAGGTATAAGATGACAGGAGCTAGAGACAGCGCACTCCGGCCCTCTCACCAGCTAGGCCTACTCATCCTCTAGACCAGTGGTTCTTAACCTTTTTTGAGTCACGGACCCCTTTGAGAATCTGGTGAAAGCTGTGGACCGCCTCCCTAGAAAAATGCACATAAGCACATAAACACAACTTTGCATGCAATGAATATACTTTATTTTATTGAAAATACATTGTCTCATACAGTGTATGACATACACAAAGTATAGTGAATATAAATGTAAAATTTTTATCTGACCTTCACGGACCCCCTGAAGCTCATCCATGGACCCCAGGTTAAGAACCCCTGTTCTAGACCCACTCACCCTCTAGGGCCACTCACTCTTGAGGAATATAGGCCCACTCACCCGCTAGGCTCACTCACCCGCTAGGCTCACTCACCCGCTAGGCCCGCTCAACCACTAGGCCCACTTACCCTTTAGGAATCTAGGGCCACTCACTGACATTTAACAGTGGCTGAACTATAACCTTTGACCTATATATATATATATATATATATATATATATATATATATATATATATATATATATATATATATATATATATATATAACTTTTATTTTTTCCTGGTGACCTTTTAACTCTTGTGTTATAATAATTATCTAGTGTTACACCTGGTCTGTATATCTTCGCTATCGTCCACAACAACAGGAGGTACTGTACTGAGCGAGCAGATTGGCTGACTGCCTTGACATGTACAGTATACTGAACTCTGGATTGCTTGTGTCTCGTAGGTCAATATTCTGGAGAGCTGTCCGTTCGTTCATCTGGTGGAGTAGTGCGGCCACTCGCTCAGATCCTCGCCTTTAAAACTTACTCTCTCAAAACTTTCACCCGGTAATGTTAACTGCCGCTGCCACCGCTTATATGGGTGGTGGTGTTGGTACTTCAGGCGGTTCAAGGGGGAGGATGATGTAAAGGAGACGAGGAAGTTGGTGAAGAATATAATAAATAAAAAATGAAGAAGAGGAATATGAATAGGAAGATGATGGAAGGTGGTGGTGGAGGAGGCAGAGAGAGAGAGAGAGAGAGAGAGATGGGGGGGGGGGTGTGGGAACTGGGAATGCTAGCCAGTAGCCTGCAAGGAGCGTCAGTGTGCGTCGCTCTGTCGCCGGGGGAGGAGTGTTGGCCTCTGCTCTCAGTCGACCCCCAGCAGGTAAACACTAGGTAACACCACACACTAATTAACCCACTTCCTACTTTAAATATTCCACTGACACAAGTAACTAACTGCGTCACCAAACCGTAACGCAACGAAAACAGTTAGGAAACTACGCCATCATTTTGTGTAAATCGTGTAGTTTATATTTCAGTTCACTGTTATTAATATAGTCATGAAAAATAATTGTGTTTTGTTTTGGAAGAATTAATTACAGGAAATTATTTTATTTGTGTGAATGGACACGATAATTGTTATATTAATATTGTATATGTGTGTATGTAGTGTAGGTGGACCAGACCTGTGGTGTTGGTCCTGGGTGATGGACCAGACCTGTGGTGTTGGTCCTGGGTGATGGACCAGACCTGTGGTGTTGGTCCTGGGTGATGGACCAGACCTGTGGTGTTGGTCCTGGGTGATGGACCAGACCTGTGGTGTTGGTCCTGGGTGATGGACCAGACCTGTGGTGTTGGTCCTGGGTGATGGACCAGACCTGTGGTGTTGGTCCTGGGTGATGGACCAGACCTGTGGTGTTGGTCCTGGGTGATGGACCAGACCTGTGGTGTTGGTCCTGGGTGATGGACCAGACCTGTGGTGTTGGTCCTGGGTGATGGACCAGACTTGTGGTGTTGGTCTGGGTGATGGACCAGACCAGACCTGTGGTGTTGGTCCTGGGTGATGGACCAGACCTGTGGTGTTGGTCCTGGGTGTTGGACCAGACCTGTGGTGTTGGTCCTGGGTGATGGACCAGACCTGTGGTGTTGGTCCTGGGTGATGGACCAGACTTGTGGTGTTGGTCCTGGGTGATGGACCAGACCTGTGGTGTTGGTCCTGGGTGATGGACCAGACCTGTGGTGTTGGTCCTGGGTGATGGACCAGACCAGTGGTGTTGGTCCTGGGTGATGGACCAGACCTGTGGTGTTGGTCCTGGGTGATGGACCAGACCTGTGGTGTTGGTCCTGGGTATATTTGTACATTTATCTTTATATAGTTATGTAGAGAGAGAGAGAGAGAGACACTAACCACCACCACCTCCTCACCACACAGACCATCTGCTACGAGGCGGCCAGATGGGTAAACGACTGCAGACGAGGGCCGCTGTGGCCTGCATGAAGACTTTACTCATGATCTTCAACGTGATCTTCTGGGTGAGTAAACCACTTAACACACACGTACTGACGGGGGAGAGTACCGCGTGTGTGTGTGTGTAAGTAACCAAAAATGACTTATATCAGCTGTGAACCCCTAAAGAGTATGCAATATATACCTGTATGGTTAGATATACTGTACGTGTTTTGTCAACCTAGGTGAGTCACAAACAGTTTAGTGTCTACCCTGAACCCCTTCATATGAGCCCCCTTAATACGTATAATACATTGTGTGCACTTCTCACGCACCACAAATAACTGGGTGACTTTGATGGAGTGTGTGGTGTGTGTGTTGTGCAGTGTGGAGGGTGTAGGGTGTGTGGGGTGTAGAGTGTGTGGGGTGTAGGGTGTGTGGGGTGTAGAGTGCGGTGTAGGGTGTGGGGTGTGGTGTGTATCCATGTTGACTTTTTCAAATCTTCAATCTATGGGATACCACAACGTGGTGCACACCTCGGCAGTTCTTGCAATTGGTCCTATGACGCGGGGCCGACCACTGTGTATAATATGTGACGCTTGCTTCATCTCTCCCTCACTGCTCTATATATATTACAGGGAATATTGTTATGTTGACGTTATACTGTTGTTATGTTGACGTTATACTGTTGCTATGTTGACGTATTACTGTTATGTTGACGTATTACTGTTATGTTGACGTATTACTGTTATGTTGACGTATTACTGTTATGTTGACGTATTACTGTTATGTTGACGTATTACTGTTATGTTGACGTTATACTGTTATGTTGATGTTATACTGTTATGTTGACGTATACTGTTAACGTACTCCCCAACATAAGCTTTAAAGGTTCTCACAAATCGTGGCAGAGAAGAAAAATTTCATTAATTTAAGACACTCGGTTGGTTCTCACCTTCTGCATGACTCGCACTGTTAAGTACTTAAAGGAGACTTTCGGAAAGCTCTTCGGGTTATGAAAGTGCAAACAGTCACTCAATCAGTCTAAGAGAGAGCAAACAGTCAGTCGGTCTTAAAGGTGATAATGTTTGTTGACCTTCTGGTGACTGGGTGTTTCTCTGCATATTGACTGTTAGGAGTAAGACTGGATGGGTATACGGTCAGCAACCCGTCAACTCCGACGAACTGTGGCAGTCAGGATGTACAGTTGCTAGTTCCTGAGTACAGGTACATTGTTAAGGTCAAGCAGAGAGGAAAAGAACCTAACCTAACCGTCCTTAAATAATCTACCATCCCAGGGCTGAAATAAAACCAATGTATTTTATTTTTCATCCGTTGCTAAACGGTGCTATTTTCAGTAGTGTCCAGATATAGCCAAAAAAGATTCCCCAGGGGCTAATTCAGGCCATATTGTAGCCAAACTTGGCGTGCACAGTAGATAAGTCATGATGAAAGAAGATGTCAACGATACGTGTTTTGGGGACATTGTGCTGTTGAACGTTATGGTGTGGTGAGGGGGGTGGGGGGGACTTGACCTCATGTACTAATGTTTAGTGTTTTGGTGTTTGTCATTGACGTTTGTGTGGGTAGGATAAGGGAAGGTAAAGTAGGTTAGGGTTAGGTTAGGCAAGGGAGGCTTGAGAAATTTGTACGTGTCGGATCCTTACCTTAAAGTGGTCGTGTCACTCTTTCCTCGGGCGGGTGGTGATTGTGGTAGTGATGATAGGTCGTATTGGTGATGGTAGTAGTGTAGTGGTGGTGAGAGATGGTGATGGTGATGAGGATAGTAGTGATGTTGATGATGGTAGTTGTGGTGATGGCGGTGCTTTGTGTATTAATTACTAGTATTAGTGGTATTTATGACATATGGGGTTGATTATATTCTTGTAATCTTAATTAATTATGATTAATGTGTGTTAAATAATCGTAGCTGTAATCAAAATAATTTATATCTATGTAGTCTAAATCTAATCATAATCCCACATTTAAAAAAAGCTGTAATCACGTTGTAATCATAATGCGTCTTTTTATATTGCTTGTAATCGTAAATCAACCCCCCCCCCCAAAAGAAAATATATCGTCTTAATATTACATACGGTATAATGTTCGATTTACTAACATGGTCATTTGGAGTCTCTCAAGGGGGGGGGGGGGGTGACGTCACGAGGACCACTTCTTTCTTTATCTTGTTTCCGCTTTATCTGTCTCTTTCCATCTCTCTTCTTTTACTTTCATTGACTTCTTCTTCGGTCTTCCCTGCCACCTTTCTTGTTATTTCCTGTTCGTCCTAATTTTTTGTTAATCTTTTCCTCTCTTTTTATTATCTCTTTATTCTCTCCTGCTATCCCTATCTCCCTCTATTTCATCTTTAAACTAACTACCATCTCTCTCTCTCTCTCTCACACATCTGCCTTAGTTCACCTGTAATCGGCAGGTATATAAATCCCACGTTTAATTAGCCCCATCACCTTAGTATGGTAATGAAGACGGTTAATGTGGAGTGGCAGCCATCAATTGGTCGAGGAAGCAAACACGATTAAATAATTATGACCTGGGTAACAAATGGCCGCCGCTGGGAAGGAGTAATTTAAATACATCGTGAGTTTGTTGACCTTTTGATCAGGATGATTGAGAATGTCTTTAAGGTAATATAGATGTATAATGTGGATTCTCGGTGTGTTCTCGTGAGGTTTGAGTTACCTTAGTACAGTTTGTTGATGGCCTTCTTATACATTATTGAATATATCTTAGTTATTATCGTTCGGTAGAGTTTGTGATCAGTGGTAAACCGCGCTTTTAATTTTAGGATTACAGTTATTAAGATCGTGATTGGCTCTCAACACGTAAGCGACCGCCTCTGATTGGGTATCCATATGTGAACGCCTAGCCAATTGGCTGTCCGCATGTAAATGCCTCTCTGATTGGCTGTGGATGTGTAAGCGCCTCGCTGATTGTCTGTGCGCGTGTAAACTACTCTCTGATTGGCTTTCCACTCGTAAGCTCCTCACTGATTGGCTGTCAGCATGTAAACGCCTTGCTGATTGGCTGGTACTCTCGCTGTGGGCTGTCCATTAGCTTAGAGACTGCAGTATGTATGTAAGCGGCTCGCTGATTGGCCGGTGGGGAATACTCTCTCAGTGTTAATATTTTCGTGGCGGGAAACTAACCCGGATATAATCTTGGCGTTGGTGAGTAAAATACGCGCGAGTGAGACTTATTGTGACGCTTATGACCCTACCAGGACTACTCTCTCTCCATCATTATCGTACCTCCTCCACCTCCCTCTTCCGTCATGGTCGTCCCCGTGTCCTGTTATCCTCGAGTTACCAGATGTATATTTTTCCCTTAATTCTTTTGTATTTCTGTCTACCCAGTATTTATTTTAATAATAACCTATAATGACCTATAGTGACCTGTAATGGTCTATAATGACTTATTGCGACCTAGTCTCATGTGACCTCTCCCTAAATTCTCCTTAATGTCCCCCTAAACTCATTTGACCTCTTCTTAACCCTCTTGATCTCTCATAGCCTCTTTGCTGACCCTACTTGACCTTATTTGACATCCTTAACCTCTTTAACCACCGCACTTTACCCATCTGACCTCTTTTGACCTCAACCTGACATCCCTGACCATATTCGACCTTTCCAAAACCTCTCTCTCCATAACCTCCTCATTTGACCTCTCCTGACATTGCTGACCTAATTTAACCTCTTCTTATACTTTATTTGACCTCTTATCCGTAGAGTCGAGGAAGTTAAGGTGTGTGTGTGGAGGGGATCTGTTACTGCTGTGTTCGACATGGTTCTTTAATTAACAGCAGCTGTTCTCTCACCCGTGCTGTCAGCTTTAGTTACCCCCCCCCAGTTAGCTGCCTTGCTGTCCTCTATCCTGTGTGTGTGTGTGTGTGTGTGTGTGTGTGTGTGTGTGTGTGTGTACTACCAGGCAGGGCAGTGAGTGTTCCCCCTTGAAGATACGCCAGACAGACAGCTCCCTGGCGGCCATAACAGGAACTATGGTCTTGTAAACAAACCTGCACACTCCTCCTGTACCTTGAGTCAGGTCTACTGTAGGTTAAACACTCTTGTACTTTATGGATTTCTTAAGGGTAGGTTAGGGGAGGGGGGGGGACCTTGTACTTGATTTAAAGGAATTTTTAGGATACGAGAAGAAATTAATATATTTTTAAGGGAGGTTGAAGGTTTTTGTACTTTTATTCCAAGTACAACTCCACCACCACCAACATTACACCGTCACTACTCTTGCCAACACTACTACCATCACCCCTGCCACCACTACTACCACCACCCCTGCCACCACTACTACCATCACCCCTGCCACCACTACTACCATCACCCCTGCCACCACTACTACCCTTTGCCACCACTACTACCATCATCCCTTGCCACCACTACTACCACCACCCCTGCCACCACTACTACCACCACCCCTGCCACCACTACTACCATCACCCCTGCCACCACTACTACCATCACCCCTGCCACCAGTAGTAGTAGTGGGTCTTCGTCTTACCCTCCCTATCATCCCCTTTAAGACCGTAGTGGACCCCCGCGCGTCGTGTCGCTTAAGATAACAACTTCTCTCCAACACACTTTCCTTAACACAACTTACACGGCGAGAGAGTGGAAGAGGGAGTTGCTTTCTCTCTCTCTTCCTCTAATCCCTCACTCACTCTTCCTCTCTCTCTCTCACTCTACCTCTCTCTGCCTCTCCCTCCCTCCCTCACACTCTCCTCTCACTCTCCCTCTTCCGTGACCACACACTCGACCCCTCAAATCTGGAGTGAGTGTGTGATATTAGTTTGGTCAGGAGTAAGAGTGTGGTACTTGGCTCAGATTCACAAGTGGCGTGTGTGTGTGTGTGTGTGTGTGTGTGTGTGTGTGTGTGTGTGTGTGTGTATAAATTGGTGTGATTTAGTAATTAACTCACGGTGTGTTGTCATATGAAGTGTGTGACAAAGAAGAAGTGTAACAGGTAGGGAAGGTGCGTGACAGGTAGATAATAACGTGTGAGAGGTAGGAGCGTGTGACAGGTAGAGAAGGTGTATGACAGACAGGTTTGGAAGGTGTGTGACAGGTGTAGAAGATGTGTGACACGTGTAGAAGATTTGTGACAGGGAAGGAAGATGTGTGACAGGTGTAGAAGATGTGTGACAGGTGTGGAAGGTGTGTGACAGGCTTGGAAGGATGATGACGTAACTGAGGATATATGTGTTTGGCACTGCTCGATCCAGTGGTGGCACTCAACCGGTCGATGGTGCCTGGTCCTCACCCCCTATTACCTGGTGGTGGTGGTGCATTCGAGTTGGTAGTTGTTATGTTGGGGGAAAGGGGTGCTAGGTGGTGGAAGGAGTGCAAGATGGTAGTGGTCGAGTGGTTTTATTGGCTCCGTGTGTTTGTTAGGGTGTGAGGTGCTAGGGTGTTAATACCTCACTAGGCACCGGCAGTAATAAACTCTGCGGTAGTCGTTCTCCACATTCTACTAACTGATTCATAGAGTCACGCGCCGCCTACACTCTCGCTCTTCACTACCAAGAATTAGTTTCTGCCAGTAGGTTGTGACGTGTGTGTGTGTGTGTGTGTGTGTATGTGTGTGTGTGTGTGTGTGTGTGTGTGTGTGTGTGTGTGTGTGTGTGTGTGTGTGTGTGTGTGTGTGTGTGTGTGTGTGTGGAACCCTGCGATCAATGACAAGACATTGATAGAACGTGAAGTCTCTAGAATATACATCAGATAATCCAGTAGGAATAACAGGACACAATACGTCGATCAGCTGACTGTGTGTGTGTGTGTACAGTGCATTGATCAGAGGGAGAGAGAGGTTCATCCCAGTGACACTCTCTTTAATCTCACCTTTATTATCACTTCTGTTGTTCCTTAATTAATCACAAGATGGGAGCCCACAAACACAGAGACCTAGATATTATTTTTTTTCTCTTGTTTCTTTTAATAAGACAGTGAGACATTCCTCGTGATTGTCGGTGTTTCTAGGACGTGATGTTGTCCCCTGTCTGGTTGGTAAAAATATCACCACTCATCACCCACATGTATACCTTCTGTGTAATAAATTTATCCTGTATGGTGTTGTTCATCATCATCATCATCGTCATGTTAGGTTTTCATCATTTTATCATAAACAAAACACACACTACAGATATATCCAACTCACTTTGGTCATGATTCACTCTCTTCTCTATGGCAACACCGTCGCTACATCTCTGTTTTTTCTGGACGGACGCCAAGCTAATACGTGGCAACACTGTGAAGGTCATTAAGACACACACACACACACACACACACACACACACACACACACACACACACACACCTTACAATGGCTGTGTTGTGTCAACTTGCAGGACCTGTAATTCAATTAAGTCAATAAACTGCCACAAGACGACTGTTCTGGTAAGGGAAAACTATAGAAATGGTGTAGTTTTGTCATTGTTATTGGAGGGGTGGTGGTGATGGTAATGGTGGTGATTGTGATAGTAGTGGTAGTAGTGATGGTAAAGGTGGTGGTAGTGGTGGTGTTGGTGATGGTGGTAGTAGTGGTGGTTGAGGTTATGACAGTGGTGGTGGTGGTGAGTGTTTGTGATGGTGATGATGGTGGTATGTAGTTGCGGTGGTATTGGTGGTGGCGATGGATGGTTGTGGTGGTTGACAGGGAAGCGAATAATCCTACCAACACATCCAATAATCCTACCAACATATCCTTCTGTCCTTGGGTGGCAGGAAGAGGCGCCCCTTCCTTGCTGGGCCGAGCCATTCATATCCTTCTGTCCTTGGGTGGCAGGAAGAGGCGCCCCTTCCTTGCTGGGCCGAGCCATTCTTGATTGTTGCTTCCCTCACTCTCTCACCTCCCTCCCCCCTCTCCTCAACTTCCCTCCCTTTACCCTTCCACCCTTCACTCTCATCCTCCCTCTCTTTCCCATCACTCACTCTCCTCTCCCTGCGTCCCCTCACCCTCCTTTCCTTCAGTCTCCCCTCCTTATCATTAATTCCTCCCTCCCCTCTCGCCTTACTCTCCCCTCCTTCCCCTAATTTCCTCCCTTCCCGCTCCTCTTCTGTCCTCAGGCCCTACCCTCACTTCCTCCTCTTTATCCCTCGGCGCACTTTACACACACACACCACTACCACCATTATCATAAGTATTCTCATTATAACAAGTATTTTTAACAGTAGTAGTCTTGGCGATTGTAGTACTAGTTACTCATGAATGATATCAATATTGTTAACACTAATATCGTCATTGTGTTATCATCATCATCGTCATCATTATCATCATCACTACCCTTGTTACAGTTATCATCATCATCGTTACTCTTGCCATAGCTATCATCACCATCATCACCCGTCACAGTTATCATCACTATCAACATTACATGCTCGTGGTAGGCGGCCGTTTCAGGCATCATACAGAGGCAGGTATCCGCACAGTTATGGTTCGCGAGACGTGAATCCGCCTCCATAAACTCAGGGTTAAGTCCACCTAATACCATATCTCATACCCGTTCCCAAGATGAACGATTATAGCTCAGCGGGGAGCCTAGATTTGCAGAGATTTGTACCGTGTATTTTTCCCCTCAACCTCTAGTCAAGAAAATGTAAATTCAGCGACGGTAGAATCCCAGTTTACAGTTGTATTTGTTAAGACGTCCTGGTCACACTAGCTGCCTGATGTTAGATGCGTTCAAACTTTAATAATCTCGGCAGGGAAATTTAACGTAGGAACCTTTGACTTTTAACTAGAGACGTTCACTTAAAATCAGTTAGGAGATAAATTACATTGAGATATCACCTTAGGAGACAAAGTTAACGTAATGTTTCTTCCCAAATATTCTGGACCTTAATATTGCTCTGCTAATTAAAGTTGAGTCTATAGTTTAAGTTGGTCTCATAACTGATGGTAAATAAACGTATCTAGTTAACTTCTCTGCGTGATATTAATTTTGTGTTTTAGCTTAAGTTAACCATATTAGGTGCATTCTTAAATCTTCCCTTACCAGGAATAGTCATCGTAGGAGCCACTGAGACTGTGGACGCAGGTAGCCCGAGAGTTGTGGAGGTATGATAGCCTCTAGTCCTGTGTTAATTACGTTTTAAAATCTTGAATATCTTGTGATTTGCCCCTGAAGCACCCCCTCTCTCTCGTGTGTGTGTGTGTGTGTTGGAGCAAGTGATGAGTGTTGCCAATGTGGATATATGCATTTATTAAACCTGGGATGAGAAGGCAAATATTAGAATAGAGTGGTGGAGAAGACATTAAAACTCTGCTTCGGAGGAGATAGCATACATTAAAACAGAGGAGGAAAGTGTACAGTATGTTAAAATAAATAAGAAGAGGAGAATGTGGAAACCATTCTATGTACAGGTATTTAGATGGGCAACAGTTACCAACGACTATATAAGACATATTTATACATGGTAAAGATCACCAGCTTAGACCATAACATACACACACCCAAGGGTTACAGAACTCTCACACTCAGCAACCATTTCGCATATTAAGTCATTTATATATAACATTGCTTCCCATCACCAGTGCAGTTCGGCAACCGCGAAAACTCTCCGTCAAATGGCGCGAAACATGGAGTGAAGGAAAGGGGTTTGTAAACAACGCTGGTATTTTAATTTACTAATACATATCATCAAGTCTTCTGTTTATTTCTAGATTGAATTTGAATTATACACATTAAGGTTGTTTTAGAAAAGGAAAATTATTCAATGAAGTGTTTATATGGGCATTTTAACGTAGAAAGTTATTCATTGTACGTCTGGCAGTGGGGTGAAGTTCAAGCAGCAGCCTCCTATATTAATCAATAATTCCGGGTTGGGATGCGAAGCTAAATATAGGATAGGGTTATTGAAATTTCGGGGAAGATTTTAAGCACCTGTTTTCCGAATCCTTATATTCATCGTTATTAAATCCCTCATTACGATGGATATTGAAATTTCAGGTGAAAATGTCATATTGTCTACAATACTTGCCTAATTATGTGCGTAATTGATGGTCTGGAGAAGTATACACACAAAGTTAGCTACAAATATACACACCCAGAGAAAGAGAGAGAGAGAGAGAGAGAGAGAGAGAGAGAGAGAGAGAGAGATTCCTTCCTTCCGTCACGTTTAATATAAAACACACACACGCACTGTCTCTCTCTCTTATAATTACACTTTTAATGAAGAGGAAGAAAACTTTGACCTTGTTTCCATCCCAGGGTCAATACAGATCACATATCCGGTAATTAACTGGTACTAGGTCGGTGCAGGGCAATACCTAGATGGGGGAGACCGAGGGGGGAGGCAAGAACCCTCTCTCTCTCTCTCTCTGTCTCTCTCTCTCTCTCTCTCTGTCTCTCTCTCTCTCTCTCTCTCTGTGCCATACCACTAATAGTGTCTCCTGACAGATAATGGGAGCATTGATGGTGGCGGCGGGGATCCTGGTGAAGGTGGAGGTGTACAAGTATGTGGAGGTGTCACCTGAGTTCTCTGCCACAGCACCCTATGTCCTGGTGGCTACAGGAGGCCTCATGCTCCTGCTTGGGCTGCTGGCTTGTTGCTGCACCGCGAAAGGCCAGCCTGTACTCCTCTACATCGTGAGTCTGTTTGTCTGTGTTTTGTTTTTTTGTTGGGGGAAGAACTCTATTTGCTATTGACCCTGACCTTGACCTCTCACAATTCCCATGACCCTTGACCCGTTCTTTCAGTCCGAGGCCTTCCCATATGACCTGCTATTGTAAGTCTGTGTATTGTTGGGACTTGCTAGAACCGTGACCTGGGCCTTAACCAAAGTGAATTTCACTGAATTTATGTACCTGTATTAAATATATTCGTACTTAGTTTAGCCGTCCCCAAACCTAGCTTAATTTTACCAAACTCAACCATAACCTACACCTAACATACGTAGCCTAATCTGATCAACCCCTAACCTGACCTAATGTAATTAATCCCTAACATTAGTGATGTACCCATCATCAACCTAGCCTAGCCTGAGTAATTCTAGGCCAACCCCCTACCACAAAGTAACCTCACTAACTCCGAACACAACCTAACTTATTCTTCTTGGCTTTAGCATGAAAACTCAGGATTCAGGGATTTAATTTTGGCCCATCATGGGCCGCCCATGTCTCCTGTCATCAGTATGCGGCCTCTATCTGGTAAACACAAATGACCAATTCTTTTAACTTCTACCTATGACAGTCACTGATTCTTAGACAGTTTCATCAATTGGAGGCCTACCATATGACCTATATCTATGACTTCAATAACTCCTTGTTCTGCACACTAGGAACTCTATCATGTAACCTGCACTGTATTTTAACCTGTATCTATGATATCACTAATCCCCCTCCCTGTTCATCAGTATGCGGCCTTCCTGTTGGTGATCTTCGTGATCATGGTGGGATCTGGGGTGAGCACTTGGGCCTACAGGAAGCACCTGAAGACAGGCTATGAGGACGGGCTCACCAGGGCCTTCACCGAGTACGAGAGATCACCCACTATGAGTAGCGCTGTCAACAGCCTCCAGAATATGGTGAGTCCAGAACATTTCCATTCTTCTATAATATCCCTGGTTGACAATCTCTATGATAATTATCTGCCTGGTAATAGAAGAAGGCTCACTCCTTACAATGACGCTGAAAGTAAAAAAAAAATAATATAATGAAGGGGAGAGGAAGGGATGCTTTCTGATTCACACTGCAACTATGAGGAGTCTGATACACCCACAGCGTGATTACATATTGTAAAGAAAAAGTAACAACTCTGTGAAGCCCAATAAAATTCCAATTGATTTTCATTTTCTTATGTTGCAGATTTATCTCCCTGAACAATACAAAGTTCCATCCTTAAGTCCCCAAGAAGCAGATGTCAGTCACCAACAAGCTTTTAAACACTTCATCACAATAAGGTGGCTTCTTTGATCACCAATTAATATGACAATTTCTTTTCAGCTTCAGTGTTGTGGGATACAGAATGCGAGCGACTGGGTGGCTATGCCCTACGGCCAGAACCACGACCCTCCCTACCCAGCCTCCTGCTGTAGGGAGGTTCAGGATAACTCATGTATTGCCCTTCACCCTCAGGTAGGTGTAAACCTGAATGACAACTTTATTTATTATTATTATCATTATTTTATTATTATTAATTGTTATTATTATGGCTGCATATTGTCACATGCAGTCTTCTACCGTCCTCAAATATCTTGGTGCGCACATGTTCACTACCTTCATATCAACTACTGGTATTAATTGTGTACGGGTTAATTGCTCCCTTTATCATCCCCTCCCTCTATTCCACTCTACCTCCCTCCTACCAAAGTATGTCCCATACAACAGTATATATACCCTGCAGGGCTGCTACTCAACTGTGGTGCACTTCCTAGAGTCTAGCATGGGTGTCATCCTCATCAGCTCCCTATGCTTTGCTAGCTTCCAGGTGAGTCAGTGTGCAGGTGTTCTTTAGGGCACCTGAGCTACCAGAGAAACGGTTTTTATCTGTTTAATGTTCTTGTGATAAATGTATTCATTATAGATATGAGAAATTTATTATACATTAGGTTTTTGAAGTTCTTATAATAATGTTGAAATTTGCCTCTTTCAATAACCATGTTCAAGTGATACAAGAGCTTTTGCTTACATTAGCTGGTAAATGTTTCTATAATTACAATGTTCAGTTTTACCTTTAGAGAAGTCTGTTGTAAAATGGAAGTCAGATGGAACCTAGATTCTTATATTTAATTTATGATGTTCCAGACAACTATATTTTCTGGTGATTAAAGATTTCCTTTTCTGTGGACAGTTTGTGGGGGTGATCTTGGCTTGCTGCCTTGCCCGCAACATCAACAGGGCCAAATATGAGCAGGTCTGAGGTCGCGCCCCGCTCCCCCGCCCACTCCCGGCGCCCACTGACCAGCAGTACGCCCATGCCTACACCCACCCATCACGACCCATCGCCCATGCTACCATCGGCAGAAGTCTCTCTGGAGGGGCACGGTCCCTGCCTCGGCCAACGCCCAGGCCAGCGCCCCCAGAGACCTCCTTCCATGTGTAGGGTGTTCCCAGGCGATCAAAAACACCTTCTCCATTGCTTCAAGATTTGTGTTTATTATTGAGTTCTTCCTAAAGGAGGCGTGGAAAGAAGGAACTAAAGAAATACTGTGGGCTTAAGGTAATGGTGTATAGGGGAGTGGGGTTTGGGGGAGTGGGGATGGGGGAGTGGGATATGGGAGGGGAGGGATATGTATAGGTAGTGGTATATGGGAGGGAGGGAGTGGGACATGGGAGGGAGTGGGGCATGGGAGGGTATACCAGAGTGGGACATGAGGGGGAGGAAGATCAGGTAATGATTTTCACTCAAAAATGACCCGTCAGCAGAAGTTAATTTGTCTTTTGATGATACAAGGAGAATGACCTCGCAATTTCAATACTAGTGTTCTTTTCCTTAAATTGCAATAACCAGTTTAGGACCCATCAGAGGTTGAACACCTTCACCCAGTAATTATGGTTCTTTACACAGTCTAGTAGAACCCATCTATAGTGGAGGTCCTTTACACAACCCGAGAATCAAGGTTCTTTACAAAGTAGAACCCAACAGTGACTGCATTGAAATATCTGTGACGGGTGAATTTCTGGGTCCATCTTCCTCCATGATGATCACAAGTTTTTTTTTTATCACTTTGGAACAAAAAGTTAGAATCAAGAAGAGATAATCAAAATTCTCCCCATTAGTTTACTGTACTAGTCTTTTCTTCCTCTATCGTTTTTGTTTTTTTACTTGTTGTAAATAGTCTGTGGCTACGAATTTCATCTTACCTTTGATTGTACAGTTTGAGAAAAAATCATATTGACTCTGGTTCTTTGTAGTTCCTGTTTGTAAAATATATGTTAGATGTGGATCTTTGCATCTGCTTTTTGCAAGTCGAACATAAGTAATTAACTACAGTATTGTATCTGTTTGTACAGGTTAAAAATAATACAGAATTATTGTTCCTTGTAATCTCTTGGTAGGAATAACCATGGCACCTCACAGCTCTGTAATATGGATCTAATGTATAAAGCTTTTTGTTGCAAATTATACATAAACAGTGTCTTTATCCAGTCAGTTGTTATACATTAAACACAAGCAATGGTTTTACTTGATCACTTGTTGAAAGTTGGACACTAACAGTGGCTTTATGGAGACACTCCCAAACATAGTCACTTGTTTATCAACTTTAGTATTTTTCTGAACTCGGTCTCATGTTTACAAAGTGTTAACAAAAGAGTGTATAGTAATCCTTATATATATTTTGCTTCAATCACATTGGTTATATTTTTGTCTCAGTCATTTGGCAAAAGTTAAATTTTGAGTCGGAAGCTGACTTTACCTTGTTCTGACTTAGCCTGTGTGAGTCACTTGCCATGTAGTGCTTCTTGTGAGTCATGTGAGTCTTTTGCCATGAGTCATTGTTTACTCATTTCTTCATGTGAGTCACAACAATATGACTAAGCTGTTTCTCTGAGTCATCCCTGTTGAGTCAGTGTTTGAGTCACTTGTTTGGTGTTATTTTTTCTTTGGTCATAATTTTTGAGCCATTATCCTTGAGTCACTGTTCCTAAGTCACTCTTTTTGAGTCACTAGTCATGAGTCACTATTCATATATCACCATTCCTGAGTCAATATTCCTGACTCATTGTTCTTGAGTCCCTATTATTGGGTCATTTTCTGACTATATACAGTATTTGAGAGACAATACTTAAGTCACTATTCTTGAGTTCCTAAGCCTCTATCATGTACTCAACTCACTACTGTTTCTGACTCAGTATTCTGGAGACTATTTCTGAGTCACTTGTTGCCACACCCGAGGAGTCATTTATCTCCACCATTACAGAGTCTATGTTCGCTGTCTGGTCAGGGCCGCCAGCCTGTATAGTACTGTAATGAGTCATCAGCTTTAGGAATGTCATTTTCAACCATATTCATTCTTAGTCAGTCACCTGTATGTTTGTATGTACAGGTATACATACTTACATACATGTGTGTGCAGGCATACTGTACATTTGTGCATGGATGTGTGTGTGTGTGTGTGTGTGTGTGTGTGTGTGTGTCCATTTATACATTGAGATATATGCCTGTTTTTGTGTGTGCATATGTATGTGTGTCTGTATGTACAGTATTACTGGTATGTGAACATGTTTGTGTGTCTGTTTATTGATACACACTGTACAGTACTCACTTTTAACTGAAAAATCTTCAAGATTCTGAATATGCAGTGTTGGCTTCTGGTCATTTGAAAGTTTCTGAAGTCTGAGAGAGGAGGTTAGGTTGTGTGAAGTACAGTATTAGGAATTGTGGGATAGGATGGTTTGTAATCAGGATAGGATGGTTTGTAGTACAGGATAGGATGGTTTGTAGTACAGGGTAGGATGGTTTGTAATCAGGATAGGATGGTTTGTAGTACAGGGTAGGATGGTTTGTAGTACAGGGTAGGATGGTTTGTATTCAGGATAGGATGGTTTGTAGTACAGGATAGGATGGTTTGTAATCAGGATAGGATGGTTTGTAATCAGGATAGGATGGTTTGTAGTACAGGGTAGGATGGTTTGTAGTAAGGGTAGGATGGTTTGTAGTACAGGGTAGGATGGTTTGTATTCAGGATAGGATGGTTTGTAGTCAGGATAGGATGGTTTGTAATCAGGATAGGATGGTTTGTAATCAGGATAGGATGGTTTGTAATCAGGATAGGATGGTTTGTAATCAGGATAGGATGGTTTGTAGTACAGGATAGGATGGTATGTAATGCAGGATAGGATGGTTTGTAATGCAGGATAGGATGGTTTGTAGTACAGGATAGATGGTTTAACAGGTGATAGGATGGTTGTGTGCAGGATAGGATGGTTTGTAATGCAGGATAGGATGGTTTGTAGTACAGGATAGGATGGTTTTGTAATCAGGATAGGATGGTTTGTAGTACAGGATAGGATGGTTTGTAGTACAGGATAGGATGGTTTGTAATCAGGATAGGATGGTTTGTAATCAGGATAGGATGGTTTGTAGTACAGGGTAGGATGGTTTGTAATCAGGATAGGATGGTTTGTAATCAGAGATGGTTTGTAGTACAGGATAGGATGGTTTGTAATGCAGGATAGGATGGTTTGTAATGCAGGATAGGATGGTTTGTAGTACAGGATAGGATGGTTTGTAGTACAGGATAGGATGGTTTGTAGTGCAGGATAGGATGGTTTGTATGCAGGATAGGATGGTTTGTAGTGCAGGATAGGATGGTTTGTAGTACAGGATAGGATGGTTTGTAGTACAGGATAGGATGGTTTGTGTTGCAGAAGAGAATGATTTGTGCTGTAGAGTGAGAATGATGTGTTGTAAGTTAGGATCATTTGTATTGCAGGATAGGATGTGATGGTTATCATTGTGGGATTGAATGGCTTTTATTGCCTGATAGGATGATATTGGCTTATATTGCTATACCTGTGCTGTTCATGACAGTTGGTGAGGATGTTCGTTGGGACTGCAGGATATGACAGCTTCTACCATTGGATACGATGGTTTGTTTTACTGCATAGTGTCTCTGGTATCATACAGTTAAAAGGTGTTTTTTGCTTCATAATTGTCATCTGTTCTGTGTATATAAGATGAATCTATTACTGTACTCTTAACTATCGTGTAGTTCATTATATGTACAGGGTGTTGTGTGGATAATAATATTCCCTGTGTATTTGATTTTTTTCTTTTTAAGGGGGAATTGATACCATATTTTAAAGTCTGTCAGATGTTACAAGAACTCTAAGTAGTCATTGGTTGTTGATGTCTTAAGATATTATGAGGCTTGAATGCTCCTTTCTGGATATTTTTTTTCATTACATACCTGACTGCATTTATTACCAAGTGTTTATAAATGTAACAATTATACTACAGATGTTTTATGAAAGCGTGTAATGCATTGTACAGTTCCATGGAAGACAATACTACTGTATATATGATGTTTTTACTAACAATTATAACTGTACCAAGGTAAAAATGTGTGTGTTGTACTGAAATATTGTTATATACTGAGAGTGTAGAATCAAGCATGCAAAAAATTCACAATTAGAATATATAGAGTGTTGGAGGATAACTACACTGGTTTCAATATTTTTTCTTAGTTATGTCTTAAGTGGCAAATAAAGAATATGGAAAAAAGTCGTTTGAAACCATTGTAAACATTCTCGTCATGTTGAGGTTTACAGTAATGTGATGAGGAATATGATATGCTTTGGCAGGTCACTGATGGTACTGTATGGTGTTACTGGCAACAATCTTGATATACTGTGCATTGTATATTTGGTTCAAGATGGGACAAGAGTCAAGAATGTCTGTTCATTGGTTGTGCTCGAGGTGTTTGTTTTCAACACTGACAGCTACCAAGAATTGTATACTACACACACACAGTCTTTCTATATTACACAGTAACACAAACCATGGGATCGTGGTATGATTGGTTCCTTCTGCAGACATCTCATGGTTGAGAAGTAAATATTCTTTGGGGCATCACAACCCCCGAACTGAGACAAAGTTATGAAATCTCTAATCTGGTCACATGTAGACCGCTCTAATAAACTCCGCCAAAATTGTGTAGGTTTGTTCGTATGGAGAGAAGGCAAAACACCAGCAACAGATTAGATAATAATGTATTGCTTTATGAATTTTTTGAAGAAAAATATAGAGGCCAAATAGTCATTATTAGTAATAAAATATTTAATATAAGCTTTTATTAGTGTACAGTATATGAGAGTGTCTGAATTTGATATTAGATACATTTATAAGTCGGGATTTTTTTTTAATTGCAGATAGAATTTTTACAGGAAGGATGATCTCTTGAATATTACACAGGATAACAGTATTGATAGCCAGTGTGGACACAACTCAGTGCTGTACTTGGCTATTCACAGAAACACTGTTGTAAGTATCCCTAGTGTTTTACCTAGTTAGAGTGTTTTGGTAGATTTTATAGTGGTAGAAGTAGATTATCTGAGGTACACAGGTTCTGACTGGTTGAGGCATTGATATGGATGTTGCTCACCAATCAGAATTCGTTTAATTAATTACTGCCTTGCTTTGACTGGATAAACCTTGTTGCAGGGTCATTGAATGCTGTGCCTTCAGTGTCATATGCCAGTCAAAAGCTTATTTAACAGTTAATGTCAATGAGGTTCTGA